CACACTGCCCATCGGCCCTCATCCTAAACAAATCAAATTCTATTGGATAGAATGTGGTTTGCCCTCGCCAATGAACTGCACTAACCGGCCCCGTCGGACTTGTTCTCATACGGCAGGTGGGTTTTATTGTCACTTGCATGCTATTTTGGTCACGGCCGTAAAGCATACAATACAGAGTAAGCCTTTGGCCAGGATAGACCTGCACATAATGCGGAGTACTTATGTCAGATTGTTGTACTTGTAACGCAGTCCTGATGGTGATGATGGAGAATCGAGTCTGTCATCTTGACGGCGATTGGCGACTCAGCTAGAGCATGACCGTCCTTCCCGCGCTGTGTAAGGGGACTTCACTGAGTTGTTACGGGGCATAAAGCTGATGCAAACTTATTAATTCTCGCCCGAGTGTTTCGCCTTGCGTGATCCATTTCCAGAGTCTTGCATGTAGACAAGTATTTTTGTTGTCGACACTGGTGTTGGTGTCAAACCAAATGACCGAGACTGTTTCTTCCCAGAAAGTCTGAGAGAGCGATATTGTGACTATATCTCCTGTGATGCACAGAGCCTTCGGCGCGAAGATTGACGAATGTTCCCTGTGTCATCAATACGAGAGATCTTTATGAGGTAATAGCCAAGAAGAGCTCGAGTAGGTAGGCGCGTACCCCATATTCCGTACTTTTACGGCTCAAATAAGAATCCAGTACCTATCGAGACCTTCGCAGAGGTATGAGACAGGGATGCTATCGCAAGCATGCTGGAGCGGATGCCGATGATGTTGTAATATGGGCAAATCCCGAGATTGCCGTCTAAATTGACAGCTCATCCTGTCAAAGGCGATATGGGTGTAGTATTCTTTCAGGCATCATCGATTGTTCGGGCATGTTTGACCCCATGCTTTGCGTAGACGAGGAATATCAGTGTTCACTCTCTTAGAACAGTCTTGATTAAGATGGTACGTAGGTGCCAGGCGCATATTAACCTGGCAAGGAAAAGGTAAAGTAAAAACGCGATGACAGCCAGGCCAATTCGCTAGGACCAACAGCACTGACTATCGGGTAGTCTGTGCAGACACGACTCGCAGGCCGGCTAATCCTGGACCGTGCAGACGTTGAATCCAAGCATACCATTGTGTACTCTGTACTGATGCTGGAGGGAAGTTCCGCATTGATGCAATGGAAGCGGTGACTGTCTGACCAAAAGAGAGATAGAGAGAGATTATGTTGCCTTGACGTCAGGTGGCCAGAGCTGGAGATCTCAGCATCCGTGTATGTATTGGTAAATTACGTACCATGACAGTTATCAATTATTACCAGCTTGATACCGTATCTGTACTTTATTGCTTACAAAGCCTTAAACCAGTCCAAAATTATCCATCATTTGGTTTCACGCTCGGCTACGTATAGACGGTTTCAGATCAAGTGGTTGAAAGGAGAGTGATAGACGCGATGGATGTATCGTAAGTGACATGACCGGTCAAGCTTCGGGGCACGTGGGGTGGAACAGATCAATTCCAATCGGGGGGAGACCTCAAGGTTCCCGGTACTCGACCTCATGTGCGAGATTCTTGTAGGAATATCAATGTATAGACCCTGGTGAGTACAATCAGTGTAGAGATTTGGGAACCGCACTCATTTTAATGTTAGATTCTTTGTAACGCGTCTCGAAGTGATGCAGAAAAGGACAAAGGAAAAAGAAACGAGTCTGAGTGGGGTTTAGCGCATCCCATTCGGTTTCCTCTTACTCTGTACGAACACCTCTGCGGGATAGAGTTAGGGGGAGGGCCTGTAGCCCAACTTTGCCCTACTTCAAGTACCGTGTCGACTTTTCTCGAAATACTCGAAATAGCTTAATCTTTGCACTGTAACCTATCATGAGAAGAGTTTGGATACCCCATTCCGAGTTGAATCAGTGCGCAGATGGTCCGACGCCCGTGACAAAGAATTACCCGAATGGGGAAAGCAACCGAGACTCCGGTCACGGACCACATCACCATCACGAGATCGTCGTAAGAGGACTCCGGGATAGACATTAGAGCACTCTGAAGTATTAGGGACAAACAAAGGGGATCAGAGATAATTAATGACATTGATTGAGTATGTTTGTACCTCTATCTTTGTAAAGTACCTGTACTCTACTCCGTACTATGCGAGAGAGTAAGATACCATACCTGTCAATACATGCCTATGCAATGTGATTTGTGCCCGGCCGTAAGCGTCAAAGCTGGGACCAATGGGGGTGGCTGGTTATTTACGTCATGTACGGTATGTCTACCGTTACACATCGGGATGACCGGGAGATAGTCAGATAAAATATGGGGAGATTTACTCAGTCTGTAGGCAGTAATTACTCGATAATAACACTAACAATAAAGGAAAAAAAGAAGAAGGGTAAAAAAAAAGAAATGCTGGAATTAGCATCCTGGACCTGTACGAAGCGTAACCGTATTACCGTACATACACGCGGCGGGCAGTGCTAAACGAGGAGTGGTCGAACGCGGTACAAATGCCCCATCGTCCGCTCTCTCTTCCAACAGTTTTTCTTCCTCTGTTACTGCTTGTTGCCCCTCCATTTTTCTTTCTTCTCGTTGGCGCGCAAGAAGGAGGGTTTTTTACACCCATCAATCAGAGATTATCTCTCCTCCCCGAAATCTGATTAATCCAATCATCGGGTCCTTTTGCTCGTGGTTGTTACGCACAGTGCAACGATTTCCACGGTTGGGATCGAATCAAATCACCATTTCAGCACTTTTGTTGCAGTCACAGCTGCCTGTCTGTGTAAGTCCTACGTTTTTTTCCCCTCTCCCATTTTATTTTGTCTGCGTCCAATCATCGTGTGTTCCCCTTTCTATATCTTCCCTGGGCAAATCACCTTTGCGCATGCGGCTCTGGTCGCATTTCTCCAACCATTCAAGGGTCATCGTCAATACTCTATACACACAGGCGTCCAACCACATTGCTGGATCGCTTTGTATACTTCTGTCAACTCCCTGATCTGGTTGTCAACTGTGTTTGGCCCCTGGTTATCTTTGATATCTTTCCCTCTACAAGTACGGAGTACTACTGTCTCTATTTCTGTCTGTCTCTTTGTCTCTCTCTTTCTCTCGGTCTCTGTTTCTCTTTTATCCTTTCGCGGATCAACTCGGGCACCGGCAAATCCCGGCTGACATCACGGCCGTCCATAGAGCCGCAGTGCGCTATCCTCGGCGCCTCTTGTTTCTGCTTCCCACTCTCTGTTACGATTCCTCCATAAGGGATTCTTTTCCCTGCTTCAAGTCAGGATTTTTTCTGTTTAGCTCTTTTCTGTGCTATCTGCGATTCTCCAGATCGCGTTGGACTGGAGTACCCCTCAGGTAATTCGTTGTTTTGTTTGTGTTCGGGTCTTGGCTGCGGCCCGCGAACGCGACTGTGATTTGATTTGATGCTTTCCTTTCCCTACTCCTTACCCACTGCTGCTGGCATACACAAGCGCTGCAACCAGGCGCTTGTCAGAACCGTTATTCTGCCGTTGTCCGAGTTCGTCGCGTGCTTGTCAGTACTCTTTTTATTTCATTCCCCTTGGTGGTGCTGGGACTATATGGCCACTATCGCGTCGAGTCTTTTAGCTGCAAACAAATGCCCAGTCATCACGCGTCACAATTTTGTTTACTTTTTTTTCTCTTTCTATTGCATGCGCTCTTTTTTAGCGCTTCCACTTTTCCATGACTCGCTTTCTGACTTGCCTCCGGAACTTTAGTCGCGCACCGTCTCCCCATCGCATTTTTGTCGCTAGCGCACGCGCGTGTGCGCAATACCACCAGGCTTGTGTGTCGGCGTTGTATGCGATCGACAAGGTATGTTGCCGGTTGCTGCATCTTTAATGCGCGCTTTCCTTTCTGCCAACACATACATTCCCATCCTATCGGCCCTTGACGCCCTGACCCGCCCACAATAATAACCCACCCACCCCGCCGCACTGGTGATTGATAATATCTTCACCTATTATCCAATTGCCAGCGCATATCTGGTTCACCAATCATCATTCGTGCGCAAACTAGAAAAAATAGATTACATGCTAATGCTCGTCTTTCTATAGTTTTGTGCAGTATTTCCGACGCGCATCTTGACATCAATCGTTTGCGAATTGTATCCTCGCCTCGGAACCGAAAATCAGGATATCTTCGTCTACCCCGGCTCTAGCCCCTCCTCGCATTCAGCCTAAACCGGACTAGGGTCCTGAACAAGCAACGATTACCTTATTCAGTTCGCCAGTTGGAGAGAATAGATTGCGTAGTGCCGGAATTCGGTTTCTTGTGTCAGCTTGAAGGCCTCAGGCGCAGTTGACAACGCATCAAGTGCACTTATCCTCGAGGACACCCTAGTCCGCTGCATAAAAGCCCAACCACGTTACATTCAGAAGTGGGTATAAGCGAATAAGGGAAAATAGGTTTTTGTCGGAAAAGACAAACTCCCCTCTCCCCGAAGACTGCTTTGAAGGTTCCAGTTCGTTTAATAAACGCGCATCTGTTTTATTTCCGAACGCGAAAAGGTTGAAAAGCTCAAAAAGTCACAACAAACGAAAAAAAAAAAAAAAGGTTAGTGCTATGACGCCCGACTATGTTACCCCACTCTCCCTCAATCCAGTGACCGGTCGGCGATGCGCTTTATGCTGACGCGATTCTGGGGCCTGCAGTGTTTCGTAGTACCTCGTCGAATCATCACTCGCAGACATCCCAAACATTTTGTTGGGTGACTATCTCCCGTCCACGCGCGACTTACGATATCCTCGGTGTAATTGCACCAGCTCTTCTCACATCCTATCAGTTATCTGGTGTTCATTCCCTGTTCCCCAGTTAAAAGGCATCATTCCTGCGCGTTAACCCTGATTGGTCTTGGTGGCCGCGTTCCTGACTGTCTCATCTCCGCAAACACGAACAACGTGACGGCGAACACCGTCGCGACTCGATGATGGAATATCCACCACAGTATCAACAACCTCACGGACAACATCCTCAGGCCCCTTCACATATGTCTGCCGCATACCAACCCGCACCCCAGAGCGCCGGCTCTGCTGTCGGCTCGATGACGTCGCCTACCAATGCCCAGGCCCACATGCCACAAGCTCACTCCGCGCATCAGGCGTCACCCATTGTCCCGTCGCAATCCCATTATCAGCAGCCGAACTTCCCACAGCCATATGGGGTGACGACTGCCATGCCTCAAACATATGGCATCTCGCCCACGCAGGCCGCTGCGATGGCCACTGCTGCGGCTTCCGGGCAATTCTACCCTCTACACCAAGACTCCATGAACCAAATGTCGCAAGGAGCTCGCGGATCTCCGCGCATGGGTGGAGTGCCTGTCAAGGGGGACCGGAATCCTCGCTCGCCGCCGCAGATGACGGGCCAGATGCCCCCAATGACTTCGCAAGTGCCCCTGTCGCAAAGCGCTCAGTTGCAGTCGCGTCGCATGAGCCATGTCGGTAGTCCACCGCAGCCGGTTCTCAATCACGTTCGACCGTCGGTGGCACCCTCAATGCCACCGCCGCATCATGCTCCTGTGCAGCCAAGCCAGCCGTCACCGGAGTTGGTCAGTGGCGGGGCCGAAGAATCGCCCCTTTACGTGAATGCGAAACAGTTCCATCGCATCTTGAAGCGGCGTGTTGCGAGGCAAAGACTTGAGGAACAGTTGCGGCTCACATCCAAAGGCCGTAAGCCTTACCTTCACGAATCTCGGCATAACCATGCCATGCGGCGGCCTCGCGGCCCAGGTGGTCGATTTTTGACGGCCGATGAAGTGGCTGCAATGGAAAAGAAATCTGACGATTCCGTCATATCGGGGCTAGAGAATGTCCAGACCACTGCCGTCAAACCTGCATCGTCCGCGGGCCATAAGCGGAAATCCAGTGAGGTGAACGACGATGTGAATGCGCCCAAGAAAACGAGGACCGTTGCGCCAGCTCGGCCAACTGCTGGTGTTGAAGAGAGTGAGCCTGATTCTGCCGATGCGTCGGATGACGATGGATGATCTCGGTCACTTTCGATACCATGGCCTAAGCTTCATGTTATCTTTCTTTGTCTTCGTATCTACTTTTTTTTCTTCTCCCCCTCTTGTCTTTTTATCTTCACGGCTTTTACGGATGGATGTCTGGAATTCCCCCCTTTTTATTTTCCTAGCGAGCGATATATGACTATTGGTCTCTATCACTGCCTTGTTGATTACCTTGATTTTGTTTTTGTTTATGCCTGTTTATATCCTTACGCTGAGACGACGCTTTTTTTCTTTTCTTTCAAGTTGGCATTCTGCCCAAATTCCCTGATGATGCTTTCGTCCCATTAGGATTGCATTATATGAGACGATTTTATGCTTCTTTCCCGACACTTTTTCTTGGCATATATTGGCCCACATGTGGATGCCATCATGATGCGATATTCTTCTTTTCTTCCATTCTTCTCTTCTTCTACGTGATTTCCGAATTTATGGCTGGGTTTTACAGGCACGAAAATATTGCTGAGAAATTGCAATGGAGGAATGACTACGAGCAATATAGTACTGGTGGATATCTTGTAACTTGATGCGCAACGGACATATGTGATGTTTTTTTTTTTTTTTTTTTTTTTTTTTTTTTTTTTTTTTTTGTATTATGTTTTTTTGACTTGCTGTACAAAGAGATATCTATACTCCGTGATTCATAAAAGCATACAGAATACGGAGTACAACTCATGAAATTACTCTGTAGTAGTCCCGTGACCTCCGGATGTACCATGCTATTCCCGATTAGGCCTAGTATTGACTCTCCAGCTCCACCGGCTCCAGCCTCATTCTTCCTGCTCTCCTTCGTGTTTCTGTCTTCTCTCCCTCTCTCTGTTTCTCTTGATCTCTCGTCCATCGACGTCCACCAGTCCTTCCTTCTCTCCTGGGTTGAACTGTGTCTTTCTCGTCTCCAGGTCCCTTTGGACTCGCTTCTATTCGTTTATTCTCAGGCTTCTTGTAGGTCGCCTACCTTGCATCATTCTCATTCTCTTATCAACTCCAGTCACCATTGCCCTCGTTTCTCATCTTCCTTTCCCCTGCTTTTCTCTTCGTTGTTATTCTCATCTTGAAAGAAAGATAGAAGAAAAAAGAGATCACATCTCTAACAAGATTATTTCCTTACTTCAATTAACCGCCGCGCCATCTTGACTCTCGAGACATTGCGTGGCATTGGCGCTACATTTTCTGCTTCTTTGCTACTCCTTTCTTTTTTATTTCATTTCTCTCAATCATAGACGCTGCTTTCGTGCAGTGTACTATTTTATTGTCTTTATCAATTCTTTTTGTCATTCTGTCGATATCATTATGTCTTCTCTTTTTTCTTTTTGGCCGCCCTGCGGACTCTTGCTCAGCACCATCCCCGTTCCCGTCATCCTTCCGTCAACGCCTTCGCTCCCAGCCACTTCACCAATTTGAATTGAAGACCAGCTCTAACGTTGACGATGTCGATTCTTAGCTTTCTTACAGTTTTAACAACTTGCGACGGCTTCCCCAGTTGTTTCCGCTTTGCGTTGGGTCACGACACCCCCTTTTCTCCCAACCCTGAAACCGCCGCTGGTTGAATATCCACCGTATCATCTTCTTGGTTGAAACGCCGAGTAATTTGTTCCTGCTCGAAAATGGATTCCTACGATAGTTATGGGTCTCCCGGAAGGTCCCGGGATGGTGACGCCTATTTGTCCAGAGTACCTGTCGACTCGTACAGACGCAGATCTCCTGGTACCAAAGCGCAGTTTTATGATTATCCACTACTAGGATGGCTTTCTGACTCTTATACAGGTTCGCAGGACCGTCGGGGACGCGGACGAGGTCGTTCCAGGTCGCCCATCATGATTGATCGCTACGAACCCGCCGACCGCCGGCCCTCTCGAGATGGCTACTACGCCTCATCACGCGAACAAGCCACGCGTGAACGCGAAGACCGCCGTCGTGCTCCTTCTCCGAATGTCGCTAATATTGATCGCTATGTCCCAGGCCAAGACTCGGGCAAGCGGCCACTTCCCGCGAATCCCCTTCCGAACCCGCTCAACCTCGATTTTCAGGTGGGCTTCAACTGGTTCGCAGAATGGTGGCGAGCCGAACAATCCGTTAAGGAGGAGAAAGAGCGAGCTAGACATGGTGGCCGTCGTCCGTCGGATCGCGTGAAGGGTGAACGTGAAGCGCGCGAAGACCGAGAGAAGGAGAGAGCGCAGATCCAGGCCGGTTACGACTCATATAAGCTGGAGCTTCAAGTTAAGATGGCACGGACTTTCGTTCAACAACATCGGTCCGAGGAGTGGTTCAAGGAGCGTTATGTGCCAGAAGTTCGTGATCCTCTTCGCCGGCACATCATGGATTTCCGGTATAATGCTCTTCAACAGTGGGAGCGCGACATCGAGGGTGGAGTGTTCGACGAGTTCACGCTGGAAGGGATCTACAAAAACGAGAGTGATGGTGCAGGAGGCGTGATTGAGAAAGAGGAAGGTGAAACGACGGCTGTTGGCGAAACCCTCGGGGTGCTGGACTTGCTTCCGGCAAGGGGTGGAGATCTGCGTGATGAGGCTCTCTCACAGCCTGCCTTGCTCATCAAAACGCTGGCACCCAATGTTAGCAGGGCAAAGATTGAAGAGTTCTGCAAAGAACACCTAGGTGAGCAAGATGGTGGATTCAAGTGGCTGAGTCTCAGCGACCCCAATCCATCCAAGAAGTACCATCGCATGGGATGGATTATGCTTCACCCTGCTTCTGAAGTTACTGTGGTGGAGCGCGACGATGGCCGAGGTGAAGAAGGCGAGGAAATGGAGCAAGACAGTGCAGGCAATGGTACGGCTACGGTCAATGCGGCCGAGAAGGCACTGGAAGCCATCAACGACAAGACTATTCATGATCCGGAACACGGAGACTTTGTCTGCCACGTAGGTGTGCATGTGCCGCCTGCCCAGCCGCGCAAAAAGGCCTTGTGGGACCTATTCTCGTCCCCTGAGCGCGTTGAAAGAGACCTGGAACTGGCTCGCCGATTGACGGCGAAACTTGATACGGAGATGGGTGGCAACGTCGACGGTTATGCCAGGATTGAAGAACGAGTCGAAGAGATACGCGGAAAAGGCTGGCTGCAGCCCCCAGTGACCGGCCCGGTTAGCGTCAAGAAGCGCAAGTCAGATATGGACGATGAGGATATGGATGAGGGTGAAGCTGAGGAAGGGGAGGAACAAGAAGGATGGGATGATGAGGTCGATGACGAGGAACTGTTGGCCAAGAAGAAGAAATTGGACATGTTGGTCGAATATCTCCGCCGGGTTTACAATTTCTGCTTCTTTTGCGTGTTTGAGAGTGATTCGGTCCACGAGATGGTTCGCAAATGCCCCGGAGGCCACCTTCGCCGTCCCCGGACTGGTCTCACTAGCCAGTCCAAAGACGTTGCTCGGGCTAGCGCCTTGGGTGACCCGTTTCCCATCAAAAAGAAGGAGCCTAGTGAGGAGGGGGAGGAACGGGCGCCGTCAGACGAAAAGCGTCAGCCAAAGCTCAGCAAGTCGGAACAGCAGCTCCAGCGTGCATTCAACTGGGTTAGGACTTTCGAAGAGAAGCTCTTGCAAATCCTCGAACCCGAAAATGTCGACCTCCAGAAATTAGGAGGCAAGCATGTAGAGGAGGCGCTCGAGGAGGAATTGTCGAAATACATGAAGCAAGAGGATGAATCGAAGTACCGTTGTAAGGTCCCTGAATGTGCGAAGCTGTTCAAAGCGGACCATTTTTGGCGCAAGCATGTCGAAAAGCGCCATACAGAATGGTATGAGACTATTCAGAGTGATGTACGTTATCCACCTACATATTTGACACGAGTTCTATGACTGACTGCAACAGCTTTCGTTGGTGAACTCATACGTTCTCGATCCAGCTCGAATTGCGCCATCACGGTCCGATGCTACCAGCAACGGACATTTCCCTCTCAACACACACCAGAACCAGGCCGGCACGCCTCGCGGATTTAGTCTGTCGAACATGCCGTACATGGGCAACGGACCGATTCCAGCAGGCTTCCAAGGAATGCCCCCGGGCGGTATGCCAGGGTTCATGATGAACCAACCAGGCCCCTGGGCAGGCAACGGCATGGTCGCCGGAGATCATCCTGGACTGCACCAGCCCGGCGCGATGCGTCGAGGTAATCGGTACAACAATAACCGGTCTTCTGGGCCATACGACCGACGCGGTCGTTACAATGCATCAGGTAGTGGGCGCTTGAGTCCTGTGCAAGGCATGTACAGATCCGGTGGCCGCATGCCGGCCAACGCAGGCGCGGCATTTATTCCCCCCGGCCATCCGGCAGCTGCGATGGTTCCGGGCGGATTCCCTGATGCTGGTTCACCACAGGGCATGGGACCGCGAGAAGCTGTGCAAGGACGAAGCCTGAAGAGCTATGAGGATTTGGATGCGGTTGGCGGTGCCGGGGGTGGTGAGCTAAACTACTAATCTTGTTTCATTCGTTTCACCGGCGTCGGCTGGCCTATTTTTTTCTTTCTCATTTCCTTTTCTTTTCGGTGACATTAATATTCTTTAAAATCTTGGCCATGTTATACAATGTGGCTATTGCATTTGCATACAGCAATATTTTCTTTTTTGTCTGCAAGGTGTATTATAGTCAAGAGTGACAGTAGTTCAATCTAGCTAGTATGAGATATCATGTCTATGTTAAATGTCCATATCTAGAGCGCCCTGGTGAATAACACGGTCTGGACTGGCCCTGATCGAGCCAATAAAAGCAATATTCACACCAGAACCTCTGACCGAATCCTCTTAACCCAAATAATCCTTTCCTGCACATAGTGCGATCCCAAGACCCTCTGCACATCCTGAGGGGCACTGAAGCATGTAAGCTGAAGCATGTAAGCAGCAGAACCAGGTTCGTCATCTGCCATCCGCCAGGGTCAGGATGAGGGATCATCCACAAGCATGAATATGATTGCAGATATAATTGCTTGTATGGTGTGTAGCAAGCATGAGGTTCTGAACTCAAATCGAGGCATCCACGAACAAAAGCACTATATATACAAATTTATACAAAGTACGTAGTACAGTAAAAGCGATCAAGCCATCTGAATAACAACGCCCTCCGACGCATCGCGCCACTGCGCACCCATCCCCCGGATCCAGCGCTCACTAGCAAGATAAAGCAACAGATAAACATGAGGTGCTATTTCACCCCATGTATACACCTTCAACACGAAGCTTTCGGGGTTCGGTGGATAAGTAGGATGAAGATCACACCCCCGATCCGGAACCAGATCTCGATCTGCTCCTGACTCGACCTCGGGCTCCTCTCGCTCAAGAACACACCAAACCCCCCAACCCGCACGCCCCTCTTTCGCAATAAGATCCTCCATAAACCCCCAGAAGCGACTAAACAGTTCCCTATCCCAAGTATTTGGATTTACACCCGCGGCAGCATGATTTGCGTGTGCAATAGTAGCTGTACTATCAGCACCGGACCCTCGGCCGGTCCAGCCCCGACCCAAAGGCCGGGGATAACGGGTGTCCAGCCCCGAGGCCAGCGGGTCGTGCAAACGCAAACGCAGACGGAGCCGCCAATAACCCCGTTCGAGGACGTGGAGCGGGCGGGCCTGGTGCGTCGGGACAAACGTCCGGGCGAGATTGAGGCGGTTGGCGAGGAGGGAGAGGGTGGGCGTGATGTGTGTTGTGAAGGGGTTTGAGGCGATGGGAGGTGCTGGAGGGTTGATTGTTAGAGGGGTTTTTATTTCATGCTCTGCTTGTTCATTTTCTTCTGACTGTAGTGGTAGACAGTGTCTCTTGGGATTTCTCTCTGGTGACGGTAGTGGTGACGGCCGTTTAAAGGAGGCCAGTGGCGATTCGGGAATGACAGAGACCGGACTATCTAAGGAGTCGGGAGCTAATCGTGCAGGTGCGAGGGGAGGATCATGCGGGAGACTATTCCCTGTCTCGTCCTCGTTCTCCTGGTCTTGGGTGGTAGTAGGATAGAAGGTCTGGAGAATGGCGTCGGCTTGAGCTCGATAGCGGCAGTCGTCGTGGAAGGAACTGGGGGCGGCAATGTGGACGAGGGTTTGGTTCATCCTGTATAGTACAGGTATATCGTAATTATATATAGCTGTGACAACGTTGTAGTATTGCAGTATTGGAGTATACACTCTGTAGTGTAGCTGTATTTGTATACTCTGGTGTTATGAGCACTGATGCCGAGTCATCTACATCGGGAAGGCAGTAAAAAAAGAGAAAAAAAAGAAAAAAAGAAAAAAAAAAAAAATCAACTTCGATAGTGCGACTTCTTCTTGGGTGATTTGCTTTATTGATTGTTCTCTTTTTGCTCTCTCAAGTCACACACACTACCACTATTACTACTACTGTACGAGTGTACAAAGGCTTCGTGCTACTATCTCTCGACTTTCTCCCCTATTCTTTTACTTCAACAATTCGATTCACTTCGTCTCATCCAAGAATACTATACTCTATCTCTACTTATAACTGAGTAAGTTACTCTGTCTCTTTCTTAACACCAGCAGGGCTGACATCTCGGGTGTTAGATTCTAGTGACAGCCATTTTCTCTCTCGACTCTCCTTTCGACTCTCCCGCGATCGTTACATTCCTCGACTTTTCCTTAGCAATTCCGTCTCTTTCTCGTGCAATTCGGCAGGTTCCCTCGTGTCTCTCCATTCCGGTCTTCTTCCTTGCTTCGTCGATTTGATCGCGCCGGTCGCATTCCTCGGCCGGTCGGTCCAGTCCGTGGAGCTGCGCTCGTTCCAACCCAACATCTCCCACAATATAACACATCGAATATATATACCCCGTGCAAATCCGAAATGTCCTCCAGGGGCAACGCTTATTCTCTAGACCACGGCCCACCCAGTCGTCATAATATGCAGCCCCCTCCGACTCTGCGTGGTAAGTCGCCACATTGGGCGTCCTCCTGTTGGAATCCCGACTAACAGCTGCAGCTCAACCATCGCAGGCCAGCATGAAGACCTCGCTGAGTTCTGATTTCATGAAGTTTTTCGGCGGCGGTGGTAGTGGAGGAGGCGGCGGCGGCGGAGGAGGGAATAATGCTGCTCAAGCAAAGAAGGTCACTCGAGGTTAGTGTGTCTGTACACTGGTCAATGAGACGAGACTAACGAGTTAAGATGGCCAACCCGCCAAACGACGAGGCCCCAAGCCTGACAGCAAACCAGCCTTGACCCGGCGACAGGAATTAAATCGCCAAGCCCAGAGGTACTTTCGGCATCAATACTCACTTTGGACCATACTGACTTCTCAGAACCCATCGCGAACGCAAAGAACAATACGTGCGCACCCTGGAGACCGAGCTGTCCCGGTTACGAGAGGCCTATACCCAAGACATTTCCTCCGCCAATGCTACCGTGCAGCAGCAGCGACAGGTCATCCACTCTGTGACCGAGGAAAACGACATCCTGAAAGAAATCCTCTCCGCCCATGGCATCTCCTACGAAGTCGAACTCGAACGCCGCAAGGCTCAGCGTCCGGCCCCTGGCTATCATCAATCGAGTCCCTTTTCCAGTAGCATGGGTGCCTCGACCGTGCCTAGCGGTCCTGCATCCAACCACAACGCCTACACCACGCCGCCCACCACTGTCGCGTCGAGTCTGAGCCCGCGGAACGGTTCTGAGAAGGGAGCCGATATCTCGTCCAGGTCGGGATCTTTCTCTCATTCCCATCCTCATGCGCCTGGTATGCCATGCGACTCTGCTTTCCTGGACGGATCGAGGATTGGATCAGCTGGAATGCACGATCCGGTGCAGACCCAGCCGGGTGTTTTTGAGAACGATCCTCAGCTTCAGATCGACTTTATCCTGACGTGCGTTATCACATCCCTTTCATCGCAGCCCATTACTAATTATGTAGCCTGGAAGGACCATGTCGCGAGCATACCGACTATCTCTGTCGACGATCGATAACTGAGGCCGACGACGAAGACATGCCGTTCTCCGGCCACGCGCTGATGGCCAGCTGCCCCCCACCGAGCTACATTGCCAACACGACCGATAGGAACCCATACCCGCACAAGACGTACGATCTCCCGGCTGCCAACCTAGCGACCCTGTTCAACCTCAGCAAGCAGCTGGTCACGGAAGGCCAGATCACGCCGATCATGGCCCTGAAGCAACTGAAGAGTGAGGCCGTGTACCCTACGCTGACCCGGGATGATGTTAGAATCATCATGGATACACTGAACACCAAGGTGCGATGCTATGGATTTGGCGCTGTGATGGAGGACTTTGAGCTGGCGGATTGTCTGAGCAGCGTGTTGGGCACCAAGGTCGACGCAGGGATTCATGCTCACTCGCAGGATGAGATGATGTATGCGTGACGGTTGTGTTGGGCTGAATTGGAAAAGGTGTTGGTGAGATGGTGTCATACTGGAGTAATTCTCTTCTTCCGTTTTCATGTTTTGTCCATTGTCCATCTTTTGCTTTCTTATGTCAACTACTATATCCGTACTATCTTTTATTTCCCTACTATACTTTTACTATATCATACTCAACTATGCAACTTCAACAACCCCCTGGCCCTGATTCAGCTCTTGACCCTGTCCCAAACTCTCCCTCAAATCCCCAATAAACCCAGCCAACTCCCCTATCCCAACCCCCTCCCGAATCATCCCAACAACCCCCTCCACAACCCCCTCCTCCCCCTCCCTCATCTCCCCAAACACAGTCTCCATCGCCTCCAGTTCGCGCCAATCAACCCGCCCTTCGCCATCACCATCATTCTCGGAGTTTTCGGAGTCGGAAATCTGCATCTTAAGGGCGCGGATTTTCCGGCGCAAGTCCGCGATTGTCTCGGCGGATTTCATGGCGGAGCGGTCGGTGTCGGTTGATGTGTAGGTGCACTGTTCCGGGTGGGCGCGGGAGAGGCATGTGCTGCAGGGGGTTAGGCGGTCGCACTAGTTTTATTTTTATTCTTATCAGCTTGTATCCAGAATGCGTTTTCTTCTTGTACCTGGAGTAGGATGCAGTTTGGGGTGTAGAGGGTGTAGAGGGAGGGGAGAGGAGAGGAGAGAGATACCTTGACTTTACGATTCCGGCACGGGATGCACGATGCTGAGGGGCGAGATTTTGTCGGATTAGAGTTGGCATTGGCGTTTTGGTTGATATTTTGTGGTGGGTTTTGGATTTGCGATTGGGTTTGAGATTGCGGCTGAAGTTGAGGTTGAGGGTGAGATTGAGCGTGGAGGGTGGTACATTGGGCTTGGGCTTGGGCTTGGAGCTGGAGTGGTAGGGGGTACATTTTGTACAAAGTATCTGGTGTGGGATGAATGGAATAGAGTTGAAAAAAGAGAGATAGAGTAGGAATGTTTGTTGATCGATAAAGGTGTGGAGATTTACAGATTGATCAAGATGGTGATGACTAACCGCGATTAAAAATGGATCTAGATCGTAGCACAAAATACAAAATAGGAATACAGTAGAAAAGAAGGCCACAGATTATGCAGTTCATAACTACAGTAGACAAACTTCTATCATTTGCTACGCTGCGCTGTGCAAATAACAGAACACAATTAAGCTTCCTCCTCCTCAGCAATCTCCTGCTCCTCAATCTCTTCCTCCTCCTCAAACGTGTTGACCGGCACACTGTACAACCGCAAGACGGGCTTGTTGGGGTCCTTGATCAACAGGTACTTCTTAGGAGTCTCCGCGTCCTCACCAGCGTCAAGCGCACGGATGCGGTCGACGATAGTCCGCACAATACCCCATCCGTTACCCAGGTTCAGGTTCATCTGGGTAGCGAACTCGCGGGGCTTGTAGCCCACAACACCGAGGACGACGTGGTTGGTGTTGGAGCGGGGGTTAGCGCGCGACACGAAACCGAGCTTCATGGCGTCGGCCTTAGCAAGGATGGCCTGAGTGGTCCAGCGGGCAAGCTTGGAGGAGTTGTTCTTCATTTCGGTGGCGATGACGGCGCCGCGCTGCGACCAAAGCTTGTTGCGCCAGTCGAGACCGCCGCCGGAGCCTTGGGCCTTGTTGTCGAATTCGTTGAGGGCCTTGACGAGGACTTGTTGGTCTTCGCCGGTGACGGGGTTGCGCAGGGCAGCGTCGACCTCGGTACGGACGATCATGTTGAGGGGCTCCTCGTCGCGCTCGAGGGAGAGGTCGAAGCGGCGGTATTTGTAGCCCTTGGAGGCGAGGGGTTCGGTCTCCTCGGAGGCGTTGTAGAAATGGTTGGGGTTGGAGAACTCGATGCGGTGCTCTTGCGACTCGGACATGGTTTGCAGGGCGAAGTTGTGGTTGATAACGGTGGCTTCCAGGGCGAGTGCGCTGGGGGTGTTGATTGAGTCGGCGGACTTGCTGCCGGCGTTGTCGGTGACTTCCATGGGTGCGTCGACGGCGTTTTCGTTGACAGTGACGAGGTCAATGGAGGCGCCGTCGCGCTTGTCGAAGTAGATCTTGTTGCCCTGGTGCACGATCACAATGTCCCACGAGTAGACACTGCGGGGAGCGCACATGAGCATGGACAAGATGTCCGACGAGGCAAACACGGTGGCCTCGTTCTTCTCTGCCAGCTCCTGGATAACGGGATCCTGCGAGGTAGTGACGTTGTAGGCAGCGCGGTCCATAGACACCAACCGACGTTCCATATTCTTCACAGGCACCTTGTCGTACGATCGGTCGTAGTAGTAAAGGAAACCATACGTGTCGAGGTCCTCACCATCAGGCGTCTCAAGGTTCAGCTTCGACAAACGGTTGAAGTCCACCTCTTCCAGCAGCGACCACTCAGGCCGCACGTTAACCGAAGGCTCGCGCGTCCGCTGCGGCTTGTCGTAGTCCCTCCATCCGAATCGACGGCCACCACGGCCGCCGCGTCCGCCACGGTTGTCGTAGTACCGGTCACCACCCTGGCCACGACCTCCCCCAACAGCACGCTGGAAACCACCCCGACCACCACGCTGGCCCATTCCACCACGCTGACCACGGCCACGGAAGACCGTACCGCGGCCACCACCGAAACCGCGCTTGGCGGTTGTGCGGGTGTTGTCGACAACGGAGAACGAGGACTCGTCTTCGGTGGCCTGGATGTTGAACAGGCTCGATGCTCCACCGGCGCCGTACACCTGCTGGTCTGGTCAAGTTAGCGTTTCCCCCCTTGAGATGATATATTGCGAAAGTGTACCTCTGAAGTTCCGGTTGTATTGCGGGCGACCACCACGTTCGCGGTCCTTCGACTCAGCGGTCCAGTCGGCCATGCGGCCCAGCTTATCGCCCTTGGAGAAAGGCGCGTACGGAGCGCCATCCAGCATGTTGTCGGTGCTGGTGGCGGGGCCCCAGGTGTCCTCCGCGGGGAGGGCAGCCACGAGGTCGGCAATCGATGAAGGTGCCATTTCGTCTGTAGTATCGGTGTTTTGATACTTTGGCGGGGGCAATAAAGATTGAGATTTTCCCGGATTGGATTTGTGTGCGGCGTGGCTGGTGCGGGCGGTGAGTTCAACTAGCCACACTCGCTAGAACGCCACATTTCCTTCGGTCCCTTGAGCAGGAGTCTTCCACTATGAACAACAAGCATACTCTGCATTGATAGGTATAGTGTAGGCAGTGGCCAGTTACGACAGAATCCTGTCAGCTAATATGCTTATGAACTATCACCCCTGGATTGTTACTAGGGTAGAAGACCCTCTTGGATTGACAACGTGACTGTACCAGATCGCTATCTCTATCTTATGCTGAACATAAACCTAATGCTTTGACGGAGTAAACCGGATCCTGGTCTTCTCTTGAGGTCCGGTGCATTAGGTACGAGAGCATCAGTGAGGACCCATGGACAGCTCAAGCTAAGACCAGTCCACATCGGAGTATTAATCACTACAGATAACTATTTAGCATAATGTGCTGTACGAGATATCTTCCATATTGACAGAATGTTTTACAAACTTCTATTTAGCGGTAGTTATCGACCTTATCAGTGACTGCTCATTTTTCTTTTTCTGTAAGCCGCATTGCCTGTGCGGTTGTTCTTCGGAGTTTACTTCGGGTTCTGCTTATGATATGTCTGGTTATCAGGAACCGGATCGACGGTGCCTGGCCTACTGACCGGGGGGACGGATGTTCTATTGTCACTATTACTACGTATGGAGACCTTTCATCTTGGCAGTTGATATCATTGCCTTTGATAAGGAATTTAGCACGATTAACTTGTCACTAATGAAAACGATGATACGAACTATGTGACGGGCAGGTAAGCAGAGGCAGACAATGCCGGGATCATTAGTGCTTACCCTTCTATGCTCGAGGTTCTCGCGGTGACACAGTGGCAATCCGTGTCCCTATTTGGAATATTCCCCGGATCGGTACCATAAGTTGGGTGTTAAAGACGTCATGACTTGGACGCCGACTTTGCTCGGCATCGAGTGTTGCCGTTTATCAAAATGGATATGATATTCTACGCTAATGCTTTCTGATTGGAAACCATTAATTCCAAAAGAAGATGCTCCATAGCGAAATCTTACTCCGTAGTTTCCTTCCTCAGTGTAATAAGCACCGCTTCTTGAAGACGTGCCGTCATTGAATCCATTCTAGGATAGGCTGGACCGTCGTGACCGACGTTGAATCGTATTGCATCCTTTATTGGGTTTCCAAAAGTGCCTGCTGATAGTAGGCACTCGCGTGTTAATCAGGAGAACTTGGCCAATACAGTAAGCCATCTGAATCGAGATATCTCCTATCACAATTCATGCAGTCCTGTAACGAAGGGATAAACTAGCAATCCATGCATGATACTGCAGAATGGTTCTTCCGGAGAAAATTGGAATGTTCCGATGTCCATAGTCTAAATAAACGAATAAGATGAAGTCCATGTGACTTGGCCGACCAAATAATAACCTTTAGAGGGACTAATCACAAGGTACGGATCCTCGCGTATTCTTCTATGTCCTCCGGGGCTCTCGATACGGACAACCGAAGTGGATAGCACCGCTATAGTCGATTATTCGCTGGCCTGGCTCTCCAGCTCGCAGTACATTGCCCCCGGTAATAAAAATCTTATACCTCGGCAAAAGAACAAGCACAACAGACCCATGGTCCCAACAGACCCGGGGCTCCGGCGTTGAATGCATCCTGTTATCAGGAACAAGGAATAGTGCCTGACCTACCAGGGACCACTGTGATGCAAAATACAAATCAATAGCATGAGCTATGAACACCTGGGGAAATTACATACCTACTGCCAGTGCCAAATCTGGCAAAGCGTATACGTCGATCCGCTGATAAGGAACTTAATTGGCCGGTGTCGAACATATCAGATTGCCTTTGCTAGTTTACAAGTCACTATCAACATGGGCCGATGTGAAATGTTTCTGCGTATACGAGAGGTGATTATGTTTGGCTAATTGGTTATCGGAACGCTGTACTGAACTCTGACCGAGGGTAGACCCTCCTATCTAAAGTTTGCCGATCACGGTGATGACCCATGGGCGCGGTGTTGGTCCAGAATAGGAAATACATGGATGGATGGCGCCCTGCCCTCTCTGTATTACTTCTATGATTCTATCCACATCTCTTCTGTGGATCGGAGGACTGGAAAAGCTATATAAACCCATTGAGCACCGGACAATCCTCAGCAGACAAGCAGCAAAGCATTCAATCTTTCATTCTTACTCAATTAGATTCCTTAGAAAAAACAGTCCTCTCTATCTTCTTTAAACAACACAAACAACCACAATGAAGCTCTCTATCTTCTCCACTCTCGCCATGGTCGCCCTGGCCTCCGCCTTCCCCCACGAGAAGCGCGAGACCACGGAGGCTCAGTGTGTCAAGCCCTACCTCTGCTGTGGAGAGCTCAAGACTCCCCTCGACGACACTATTGACCCTATCCTCGAGACTCTGGGTATCAACGCCGCTAGCATCGTCGGATCCATTGGTCTTGACTGTAAGTTACTTTGTCCTTTTGAAAGATGGTGTTGGACTGGGGCTAATAATTGATAGGCAAGGCTTACGATGACTCTTGCAAGAGTGAGCCCCAGTGCTGCACTGAGGCTAACCTTTTGGTATGTTTTCTTTCTTTTTTTTTTTTTTTTTTTTGTCCATAGGTTTATTGGAGATGTGCTAACTGGAATAGGGTGGTACTCTTGCTCTCGGCTGCTCTCCGCTCAAGTCCAAGTCCTCTTAAGTGAACGATGCTTAAGAAATGCTGGACTGTACAGATTGTCTGAGTAGGGATTTATATATTAACATTCGGAACGGTATATTGTTTAGCATCAGATAATGTAATATAATATAATCACATTTGGTGAAGTACATCCATTTATGTAGGAGCTGTATCTTGTCCAGGATATAGATCCAGATGACCTGGCAATGTACAATGCATAAATAATTGCTTGCCATTCTTGGTACACACTTCAACAGTAGAATTTGTCATGCTGTCCCCCAATCCAAGCTTGTTTGACATCACTTCCTCCTCGCCAAAACCAACCCGGTCCCCCATTCCAACTCAACAACAACCTCCCTCCATCCACCCTGCACACCCTCCCCACTCAACCCACTTTCCTCCTCCCTGATCCTCTCCATCAACTCATCAACCACATCCCCAGAATTCACCTCGTCCTCATCATCTGCCTTCTTCCTCCTCTCCGGCCACCGCCCCTGCCACCCATGATACGCGCTCCAAGTTCTCACAAACTCCGCAAACTCCCCCAACTTCATCTTCGCGCACATAAACATCGTCCCATCCCGCGCCTTAGGATCATATTCAACCCGCGTAGTCTCCCAATCCTCAACAGGCGGTTGTATTGCACGCAGTTTCCCCAACACGATATCCCGCCCTGGCTGCTGCCAGTAACCCCCCAACAAGTTTGGATCAGTACTAGACCCATAATGCTCAATTAACTCCGTCGCACGCGGATAATTCAAAATAACAGGATCCGTATATCCCCAAAACGCAACTGTCCCGCCAGGCCTAACTACCCTCCCTAACTCAGGCCAAAGCCTCTCATAATCAAACCAATGCGCCGCCTGTCCCGCTGTAACCAGATCCACACTCCCATCTGCTAGAAAATCCGAGCTCTCAGCCGTTGACTCATGGAAGGTGATATTGGGATTGTTGACGGAGAGCTCCCGCGCGAGTTCTAACATCGGCTGCGAGGGGTCTGTTGCGTGGACTTGGGCAAAAAATTTGCTTATTTCGCGGGCGACGAGGGCATGACCGGTTCCTAGGTCTAGGGCTGTAGTAAGGGATGCGCTGTGGAAGGAGAGGATGGTGTTGTAGAGGTGGGGTGGGTAGGTTGGGCGAAAAGTTGAGTAGCGGGCGTGGGAGAAGGAGGTGCTTCTGTAGTTTTGCTTGGTGAGTGGGTTATTGGAAAGAGAGGGGGTTTGTTACTTACGAGAAGGACGCCATTATTGTGGTTTGGTTGAGGAGAATTGATAGGAAGGTGGAGGGAGGGAGGTGTTTATCTATTTAGGACGGGGTAACTCCGATGCCCCGCTATCTTATCAGATCAAGGCACTATGGCATCAACATGATTGGGCAATGTATATTGGAGTACTAATCACGTCTGTACAAAAGACCGTCCAAATGCACGACCAGTCACCCAATATATGTCGCATACTTCATAAATTGCTCGTCCGCCCTCAAGCGCTCCCAATCCTCATCCCTGAGACAAATACCAGCTACCATCTCGCCGCGTGGTGACCTGGGCATCAAATACCCCAGGCCATCAAGCGGAATGAAACACGGTCTCCTTACAGCCTCTGGCTTCCCCAACCCTAGATTGAAATCTAAATCATACAGGTCAACCTTAGCCCACGAACTGAGCGCAAAGTCCGTGGCTGTATCTGCGTTCGCAGTGAAACTGGCTTTCGTCTTATCCGACGAACGAGCAAGGAATGTAACAAGGGCACGAGTGTTGTATGCCAAGTCGACCACTTGTGGGTCGAGTTGCGAACGAAGTTTTGATGCGGTAATGCCCAGGGGTTCCTCTACTAGGTATTGCAGTGTGGCTGTGTTGTATGTCATGTTTTGCATCAGTCCTGGGTATGTCGGCGGGATTCCCAGGTGCTGTCGAACATCGACTGCGCGCCTAAATGTGGACTGTGCACCGGGATCTAGACGGGGGATCCGGGCCCGAGATATGCATTGCCAGATGAACGCGCTGATTGTGTCATCCGTCGAGATAAATCTGGAAGAAGGGGGAATGTTGCTCCTTGCCAAGGACTTGAGGGCCTTGTGTGAGCTTGGAGAGAAGCTCAAATAGGCCCAGGTGCATTTGGGCGGTGGTGGAGGTGCTGGTGGTGCGCCATCGATGTTCGGGGAAGGCCTCACTAGTTGACAAGCAAGCTCGAGTCCAGGTTCGTACGAGCCATCCAACAAAGAAACGGCTTTGCTCCGATCCATATTCCCTATCTCCAACTCTCTGCCGGTAAACGGCTGGTTGTTACAAGCCTTCGACAGCAAATACATGATATGCCCTTGCCCAGTCATATCCATGGCATTATGCTGCCCAACAACGGTGATTATACAGCCACCAGCGATGAAATTGATCTGAACAGCAAAAACAGGCGCAGACTCAGCCGCCAACCCACTGGTATTTCCTGGAAGATTGAGAGTCGCACAAGGCGCAATGACATTCTCATTTAACAGGCTGAAGGGGAAATCGGACTGTCGCATAGCACTCATCGTCGGCGCGGAAGCATCATGTCGGAGATCTTTGACAACTAGCGGAATTCTGTCCAAATGCGCGAACTTGTAGACATTGGTGTTTCTTTCTAATGCTCCTTCATGGATGATCTGACCGGTAAGCCATGGAAAGCTCTCACCCAATCTGTCGAGGCCAGTTCTCAAGGTGCTGACGATATCATCGTGGGAAGCCGGGTCGGTGACCGGGTAGATGTTGCATATTTGTGTGTAGAGTTTGTATAGGAATGGCATTTGTCCGAGTGTATCGAGGGCATCGTTTTGCAGCATGATGGTAGTGTTTAGTAGATAACCATTTAGCTATTTCCCATCTTTTTATATCCTGGGTGCACTATGCCTATGTGCTCCACTTCTGGGCTAATCATCATGAGTAATGTTTCTTGAATCTGATTGGACAACCGAGCACATTGGATCCTGTAATAATCAATGAGGGAGATATAGCTACCACTAGTTACTGTTGAAATCTAGAGCTGGTCACTATCTGCCCAGCCCAAAGCCACATCGCTATTGGCAACTGTCTTAATGGGATGTTCCATGGCCCTAATTCAGAATTTCCAAAGGAGTCTCCGGGCCTTCACTTTTACTGTCATAACACTTGTGACAGATCAGACTAAAACGAGATATATGCTTTTGACTTTGAATACCAGATTCCCTGCTCTCGAGATGGCAATGTTTGATGAGCTGTGGTCTGGCTGGGCGGAATGGCCATATTGAATTTCCTGTGATCCCCAAAGGCGCGAGTGACGACGATTCAGAGGAATTAATTGTTGGACTTGAGCCCTCAGCATGGTAAATGGGAGTACAGGCAGTTGGTTGTGAGTTACTCTAATTCAGGGACTTGTGATGCTTTAGGTATTCTTGCAAAGACGGTGAAGGCAAGGCCGTGGTGAAGGGGAGAAGAGGGAAACATGAGCGCCCAAAGGCTGAGCTACCCAGGTAGAGCTACTGGGACTATTGCAAAACTGTATTTGATTGATCAAGAAGATAATGTAATCGTAGATCTTGAACAGCTCTATGCTTGGGCCTACTCTAGCTTTTACATGTTATACGACCATTTTGGGCTCTGCCATGATCCCGGCTTTCTCATAAGTCATGTGAGCTATATCCGAATGATTTCCCTAGAATACAACAATGTAGCGGCCGCGGAGCAAGGATGGACCGAATTTTTGGTACTATTCCAGTGACTGAGCTATTTTGAATCTCTGTCCCACCAACCACTCTTATTCCCCTCTTTTCTCCTTCTCGTCCAAGTAATCGCCTGAAGTGTCTGTTTGCCAACATCAGCAAAGGAGTAGCCTGTTTTATACCATAATTTACACTATACGCCATAGTCCAGAGTCCTTCATCCGATACAACGTTCCTCCTTCCCGCATAGCCTCTGCTCCGTCCATTCATCACCGCCCCAGACACTGCTAATACTTACCTGGCCCACCAAAAGAAGTAAAACATGACCGGACTCCTCCATCTCCCACCGGAGCTGGTCGAAGAGATTTCGTCCCTACTCGACCCTACCGATTTGTGCGCAGTCAGATTGACCTGCAAGGCGCTTAACACGACGACCTTTTCCCCTTTCTGGAAAAGAACTCTACGCACCATCAAAACAGACCTCTCTTTTACGAGCTTACAGAGACTGTCAGCCATATCAAGTGACACCCAGCTGCGTCGCTATGTACAAAAGCTCACCATCAGAGCATTTAACAGGGACGAAGGAGTGCTTGGGAAGGGATGCCGGTGGGAGCGTCATTCGTCTGGTCATATAATCAATATGCATAAGCAGCCTGCGGGGCAGAAGCTCGATCGGATCCTCTGTCATTTCATCAACTGCAATTCAATTCAAATCGAGACTACATCCACTGAGCGTCCAGAACCTTTGAATATTTTCACTGCTACTGATGCAATAATGATCATAATGAACATCAACAAAGAAGCTGGGCTTACCATCAGGTCATTTACGTTGGACATTTTTTTCATGGGTATGGGGGATGGTGATCAGGAGCTGGCAAATCTGGACCCTAGGCGACTACAATTATCCGAAGCCCACTACGTCGCGATGGGGGCAAATCTCGAAGAGTTGGATGTAAGATACAGGCCCGACTCTGATCCCGCTAACGACTGGCCGTTGAACGTGATGCTGCACGCCCCGGGGCTTCGTAAATTGCGTCTCGCATGCCATGCTATGGAGAGGGTTTCTTTCCCAATCTTTACACTTCGCCTCGCATTGATGGATCTTCCATGTCAGCATTTACAAGAGCTTGAATTCTTCTCAATTTACACCCCGATCGAATATTTCATCGCTCTACTCCGAAAATTTAAGCAAAGTCTGCGGGCTCTTAAACTACAGGCTGTGAGGATTAGGTCAACACTAGATGATTTAAAACAAATGTTTCGAGCCATGGGCACCTTCCCTGCTCTGGAGACAATCAATGTCAAATTAATAGAATCTGGTCCGTCCGGATGGAGGAGTATACACTTTCCAGCGGTTGCTCAGAAGCCAGTAGTAGATGAAGCACAGGGTACAACAATTGGATTCGATGAGTGGCCACACTATAACGGTTTATCATGCGTGGAGTACTCGGGGCCAAATATGAACGTCGCCTTGAATATCCTTGCAGAAGCAATGAAGTTTACCTCTGAATGGTGATATTCGGGATACGAAAGGTCAGGGGGGAACAGAAAAAGGAGCCTCATCTGCAATTTGTTATTGTGTCGCCAGGGCCTTGTTATCAATGCCACATCCAGTATTGAAGGCCACAGAGCAAGCCGCAGGAGCGCTACAATCTCATATGGTCAGTGCACATCAACGAGAACCACCCTTTTTGGAATCTCACTCATGTCCTTGTTATCGGTTCTCTTACAGGGAATTTTATGTCAAGGTTAGAGAGCCAGGTCAGGGGATATGCGTTGTTATCGCGGAGTATGGGGCTCAGAAGACAGCCTTTCTAGTATCTGTCATTTCCGTAGTTCCAGATAAATGAAAGATAGAGCGCTCGAGATGGATGAGGCGAATGAAGTTGCTGTGAAGGATAAGACATTGAAGAGAAGGATGGGGAGAATAGAATCAACCCAAGTCATACTCGCTACGTCCCAAAGAAGTACAAATATGTCGTGCTTCCTAATCTGTCATTGTATGAACTCGGTTTGATATAGTTTTCATAAGCCAATATCTCAATAGACAGTCTACCATGTACTTATTTCCAAATAAAATAATCAGGAGGGGGTTGGACATAAATCATACGATAGCATACGAAGTAATCGATATTTCGTAGCAAACCGAACATCTCGATAAGTTCCGTCCCAGCTGTGACCAGCATGCGAACACAAAGCAACCATGGCGCTTGATGAATTATCACCGGAGCTCATCGAGACCATAGCATGGTTTGTAGAGTCTTTTGCACCTTACGGACGACTTGCAAAACCCTCTATGTGATGAAATAATCTTGTTCTGGAGGAATTTTCTGAAAAATACGAAGACTGATTTGTCTTGTGCTAGCTTCAAGGAATTGTCCACTATTGCACGAGATCCCAAAATGCGATATCACGTTCCCCGTTTAACCAGCACAGGAACCGACACGGAAAACACAACCCTTGGGGAGGGATTTCAGTACGAGCACCACTTCTCTGGCCAACTCATAAACCTACAAGAACAGCTCGTAGTTAAACAGTCCGGGGAGGTCCTACGTCAACTGTTTAACTGCAAGTCATTCAAACTCTTCACTATGGCCAGGAACCCACGCTATAGACTATTGTGTGAAAATGGTACAGAAAACGAAAAACCAAGGCCCAGTATACTACACTCATCATGCATCTTGAAGAACTGGAACTGAGGTATATACATGAACCTTGGTTTGACATTAGTCACAAATAGCCATTTGACATGATATTCTGCGCCTCCAAGGTGGCCCTTGGACATGGTTTTGAAAGTGAACGACCAGAATTCATTCGAACTTTTACATCGACAGATCTTGCCTGGCCACTGTTACAAAAATTTTACCTGTCACCTATCCAAACATTAACACGGGACTTTACAGCTCTACTCCAGAGGCCCAACCAGAGCCTGCGAGTTCTCAAGCTAACCAAGCTTAGACTCCAATCAAGCTATGATCATCTGAAATCAATGCTCCAAGCTCTAAGTGCCAGACACCCTGATTTAAACACTGTCAAGATTGAAGTGATGTGGTCTGGCCCGTGTGGATGGGATCTTGTCTAGTTCCCTAAAGTCATGGAGAATCCCGTTGTATATGGATTTCAGGGTACGAAGATCAGTTACAGGCCTGTAATTTATGAAACGCAAACAAAGCTTTTGCTATGGGATAGTCGGGCTCGTAGATTTATACTACTTAGGTATACTTGCGAGAATGGCGGATCTAATTCCTTATATTTGAATGGGCCATAGGAATATGATCACCAAGCACAAATACCAGTATATTCCATAAGCCCAGATCTCTCCATATTAGAGCATAACATCCAATAAGGGCCCCTTGCAAACCTCTGCAGGACATTTTCCACAGAAAGCCGTTCTATCGCACGATATGCCATCGTTATTCCAATAGCAATCCCGTTTATTGCCCACATTGAATGGACCGATACTTGGTGTCGCCACGAGTGTCATACTGCAGATTTCCGAGGAGACGTCCGTCGTGTATATTTCCAAGGCATCCGGTCAGCATACTGCCTCTTGCAAGCATCAATAAAGAGGAGAAAAGCGAGCTGGCACACCTTTTTTATCTCGCAAGTCGGATAACTTCACGTCGGCGACGCAATCCGCATGAACCGCAAAAATATGCGTACAAGGCAGGGCACCCATCGGAGCCCTAAAACAACCGAACAAAGCAACCTTTCACCGTCTGCAGCCCCCTCCAACTGATACATCAATTCATTTCTACAGGCAAAGATGTCCACGTCAAAGTGTCCTCTGTTTCTTTTTTTTGTTCGATGTGCTACATTTGCAGTGACTCGTTCGGCCGCTCATTGTCCTCTTGGTTTTAAAATTCCACCTCCCCCACTACTTTCTTCACACCTTTATCCCTTCCCTTTCTACAACCCTTCGTTTCGTTTTATCTTTCAAATTATCTTCCCTGTCTCTACTAAGCACCTTTACTCCACCAAGTTGACCATACCGGACTTCTGCCAGACTTGCAAGGTCGTCCACTACTGCTCCGTGAAGTGCCAGAAGGAATACTGGAAGGCGGACCACAAGAAGCAGTGCGCGGAGTTAATTACGGAGATGAATGCTGAGCCGAAGGACACCATGAGCCTTTCAGACGATTTCTGAAATATATTGAAGCACAATTGCCCACAAGACCAAAATCGTTCCTCTCCCCAAGCCCATCCCCAAAGTGCGTGAGAAATTTCTTAAGGGAGAGTGTGACCCTATCTGCAAGACCCTGATCAACCATTCGCCGGGCAAAGGCAGGCCCATTTTCTCGGTTGGAGCTGGTGCTTGTGCCTTTGTCAATGGAAAGCCTGTTCCCAATCCGCCCAAGGGCCTGAATGCGGGTATTTTTATGTCTTTCTCTCGCCTTGATTAGAAAACTCGGCCGCACGACCGTGCTGAAGCTGATGTCTACAAACTGTTGATCGATACCTACCGCCTCCGCGCCGTTCAGGAACAGAAAGATAACGAAAAGCCCGAATACCCCGAAGACCTTATCAAGGGCTGCAAGGCCTTTAAGGTTTCTAACAACAAGCGCGTGTTGCTTCCTGGTTGGTAAACCGAGAAAAAGACGGAGGAGTGTATCAAGGTCGTGAAGGTGAGGGATGGAGCTCTTTGTATCGGATTATTTTGAAGAACGACGCCAATGAACACTACGGAGAGCCGTATTTCAATTTGTAGTTTCGTCTCTTCTGAGAGCAGGTGTATGGTGCGGCTCCCACGAGTACGTCATGCCTGTGGCAGGCCCATATCTTGAAAGTACTGGGGCCCGCGAGCCGTAAGTTGGGTCTCCACGATAAGCTTAAGGCTCTGTCTGTGCATCCTACACAGGTACTATCTTCTATGATGCCTTTCAATCTAACTTTAGATCAAGGGTTTAAATGCTTCATGCTTGCTTATGTGAGTGTATTTGCTACAGAAATAAAATTACCACGCGTTCTTGTATCAATCTCTCTATAACCACCACGCCTTCCAGTATCAGTATATAGCAACCTCATAACCATCACCCTTAGCATCCACCCCCTCCACCTCCTCCGTCACAACCACCACCACCACCTCCTCCTCCTCCTCCTCCCCCATCTCCACCGTTCCCCCCTCCACCCCAACCTCCTGCACGTCCATGGCTATAACCATTCCATCGCGAGTGACCGTTGCTCCGCTTATAGTACGGGCTCGGTCTGTAGTAGTATTGATTATTGCTTTGTGTTTGGGCCTGCGGTTGTTTTCCGAGGCGGGCTCGTTCGCGTTTGCTGGTGCCGAAACACATGTTGTTTTGCCTTTTCTCCCTGGTAAATGTGAAGAGGTAGCGGGAAGTATAATGTGTTGTTTATAGATTTGTTGGAGTCCCCGTCTTAGAAGAGAGTGGTTAAACTCTTTGGTTTGGGTTGGATGCTGGGGTATTTGTTGGGTGCAGTCGAGCTTTTATGTCGAGTGGATGAGGCGGAGATACGAAGATGATGAATGAGGCTGAGGCTGAGCACTGTCAGATGCAGATGACTGTATGTGACTGACAATAATTGACAAGATTGGATTGGCTGTCATACGAGATTGTCTGTAAGATCACCTTGCGGTTTCGTTTCGTAGCCAGTAGTGGGCTTTGCATGTGCCTTGTTACGTCTGTGCTGAGTTTAGATCTACGAATGTTCTATTATAAAAACCCTTGGTTATTTATAGTGTGTAGTAGGTGTTAAATGTCATGAATAAAAACGAGTAGATGATATCTGGAGCGAATAAATGTCAGTGAACGCGACACCCGATCCGGCCAGGCATGTAATAGACGAGTTGTGAAGTCCTCAAAAAATCAAGAAAACGAAGATTGAGAACTATCCTCCCACTCTCCAAAGCAGTATGCACAACGTGGCTCACCACAGCATGTTCCCTTGCAATCAACCACCTCACCACAACGAGCATACGCCTCCGTGTTCTCAGCCATGATCTTTTTGGCGCCTCTTCTCGGGATACTCCGTTTCTTTTCTTTCTCTTGAGTAGTAGCAGTAGCAGTAGGTCCTTCGACCTTTGAAATGACGTAGACTTTCTCTAGAGTTTCCAACCTAAACCAGTACCAAAGTTCGCCTTGTCAGAATCGGACCGGAAGCGCAGAGTCTGGTGAAACGGGGATCTGGACCTCAATCGTTGTTCCCGACGATGACTCTTCTGTTTCGATTCTCTTGAACGTAGGCTCATCGTGCTTAGGTGCAAGCTCGTTCTTCAACGTATCTACATCGACAAGTGCAGGTGTGGCTGTCTTCCTAGGCCTTCCACGTCCGCGTCCAATGTTCGCTCCTGCCCCGTTCCCATTCCCATTGTAGTCAATGCTGGTGCAGAAGCAGGCGCAAGAGCTCCATTCGTCCCAAAATTCCCACATATCGCAGCAGCAGCAGCCTTCTTGCTTGTGAGCAATTTGCGAGGGGCAACAGTAAGAGTAACAGTCGCGCGTACGAGTGTGGTTGCGGGTGCGATCGCGTTCTTGGGACCCATGCTGAAGATGGCTTTGTTGTTTCCTGTTTGGCGGCATTTGTTAAGTCTTTCTTCAATGATTTTGGGGGTTGGTTTGTCGTTGCCAACTGTTGGGGATGGTATGTGTTAGTGACTGCGTTCGGTGAGGAAAGACAAGAGAATGGAGAGGAAATAGATGGGAGAGGGAAGCTCACGCCAGGCTTGAGAGACTTTTTCTAGTTCGAGGGCTAGGTCCTGTGTGTGGAAGATGGTACGCCAGAGCTGTGGAGAAGAGTGGTGATGGTTAGTTAGGGCGGCTTACTTTGTTTCGAAACGGTAAGGAGGGAAAGGACGTACGATGTTCTCGTTTTCGGTAGTCCAGCGCATCTTGGTAATTATGATAGATGCATGCTGTCAATAAAGAGATAGTCGAAATATTATGTGAATGAGAGCTGAAGAAAACAAGGAGAAGGGAGTCTCATCTTCTGTTGATATATACGGACCTGCTGAGTGAATTCTATCGCTATGAAACAATACGTGCTGACTTGGCAACAATTGGAAACTTCAGTTAATTCAATGGATTGACCATAACTTTAGTGCTGAGTGGTTTTTTTGAAATGTTATATGCCACTGAACAAGATGCGTGATTGATAACGAGCAGCCCTACTTTCACTGCAAAGTAAAATTGTACAGCTCGTGGATAATGGCCATGGAGTAACCAAGGACATAACATGTTCTTAGTCCCCAGCCCTATATTTCAGGATTGATTGAATAAACATGATATTAGCATTGGTGTCTGTACGTTGCCTCTGTTCGTTATTCTCCATGCGCAGGGAAGGCTGCTAGTATCAACTATCTCTAGTGGCAAATGAGATATACAATACTCGACACGGTGAATAAAATGTCATTAAGTTATCGTAGCAAGCAGAAATTAATAGCACTTAGATTTGGATTTCGATTTACGCTTGGATTTGGACTTGGGTCTTTTCGTAGCTTATCGCCCATTCATTGCATTCGGCAAATATCCGTGTTGAATCGATGGTGCGATCTATGCTATTCAATCCGAACCCATGGCTGCATAAGCCACAAGACTTTATCTCTACCTTTTGCCTTTGCTTGGACATCTTCATAATCTGGCTATACTCAATTTGTTATTTCAAGGGAAGCAGATATATATGTATCGGTGTCCAGACGTCATAGAGAGCAAGTCACACATGAGGGATGTCTTGTACAATTCGATCAGAAGCTAATCACTAAGTAGAAAAATACATTAAATTATTTTCAGTGTCCCGGAAGCTCAATTGTAAGTTTCGTTGGTAAGCAGGTGTTGGCAAACCCTAACACACCTTGAGTACCTTAAATAAATAGTTGTCTATAAAATCGTAGTCGCGAACCCTAAAGTCAAGAATATGTCAAGTTAAGATTATGGAGGATTAGCACCCAATGACGACCGTATCTCTGTATGGGATCTTTTGCATTAGAATGGAATGGAGCAAACATTTCCCAGTAAAGGTCTATGTGATGCTACTACTGCTATTTATGACTAAGAACCCGTCCCATCAATAACACCATCTCTCTTGCGTCAGATGAGACTGACATGTGGGCAAACTTTTCAGCTGGTCCGAAAGACGGAAAGAAGTTATAACTTCATCGAGATACGACCAGGAGAGGTCTAGATTATACGGGTATTCCAGAGACCTAATGAAAGCAAACAGATGATACTGTGGACATAACGACCAAGCTCGCCTATATTACACCATTTCCGCGGTTCCTGTTTGGTTTGATTAAGAAGTTTTGTTGGAAGTCCCTGGCCCCTCTATGAGCCGAGTATGAAACCAAGGTTGTCCGTACCCTATACAGACCTCCGAGGAGTATTGCACTTTTGATTGAATAGAAGAAGCTGAACTAATGCTGTTTATTTATATTGATGTGGACCCCCAAAGTCACCCCTTCTCCCAGTCATATCGCAAATGTACCCTCACCAAGGACTTCATTCTTGGTTTGTGGGAAGAGGTGAAAACAAAGAACATGTGGCAAGACAAAATTTTCTGCTGACCATGATGTCGCAAATACTCATAATCCTAGTAGCTAGTTTGTGTTTATTGATACCAGGGGGGTCAGGCCTGGTGAAGGTCTGCTGTATGGCAGCTGCTTGGAGTCATTGTCCTTCCATTTACAATTATGTTCTCTGTTACTATACCATAAGGCCTGTATAGCTAGTTTTATTTATCCGACGAAACCATTGTCGTAAATCTTTTACGCACCACCCTCAGCATCCTTCTTTGTCTGATCATAATGAACCACCGATTCTAGCAAAGCCTGCGTACCCAGAGCACTGTATATCACGTTAGCCACTATTATAAAAAGAACTCCCATAAGGAACAAAAACTCACCAATCCTCCGGACTACAATACTCCTCCGGATTATGACTGACCCCATCCCGACACGGTACGAAAATCATAGCCGTAGGACAGTGCTTACTCGTATAAACACTATCATGGCCCGCTCCACTCGTCATATCCATCCACTTTCCCGGACCAACAAGATTCTCAGCAGCAGTTTGAATGGACTGCAAGCAGCCCTGATCGAACTGAACTGCGGGGGAATCTGTGTCCAGTGTCCAGTCAAAGGTTACGCCTTGGCCGTCCTGTGAGGCGATCTCCGCGAATGACTTGAGACATTCATCTTGAACTGCATGCACAACCTCATCCTGCATATGCCGGATATCAAGCGTGAAAGTCACCTCCGAAGCGACAGTATTTGTAGAGGCGTTGGACGGAATCTTAAATACTCCAGTTGACGCCAGTGCATTGTGGCGTTTAGCGATGTCGTTCGACACAGCAATCATCCGGGACGCTGCGAGCAATGGATCCTTCCGGGCATTCAAAGGCGTTGTCCCCGTATGAGCGTCTCGTCCTTGGATGGTAAAAGTAAGCCACCTATACCCCTGGGCACCCTGAACGATACCAATCGACCGTCCTGTGTTCTGGAGGATGGGGCCTTGTTCAATGTGTAGTTCGAAATGCGCTCCGAGCTGGAATCCAGACTTCGCATCGCAGGGGATAGATCCTAGGTATCCGTGTCTTTCTAGTTCAGACTTTAAAGTCACGTTCGAATCATGAATATCGCGCAAGTCCCAAGCTTTGTGAATCGGAATAGCACCAGCCCACACACCGGACGAACACATAGACTTCGGAAACCGAGCACCTTCCTCGCTGTTCAATGTCAGCCCAATACACATACCCCTCGCAAAAAAGGTATCTTACTTTGTCCAATTAACAATCCCAACATCATAGTGCGTCCTAAATCCACTCTCCTTCATGGTCCTTAACACCTCAACCGCCGCAACAACACCCAAAATCCCATCATACCGACCACCCCTCGGCTGTGTATCCAGATGGCTTCCCATGGCAATCATTGGGGCTGATGATTTTAGACTCCCGGGTTGTCGTGCGAACATGTTTCCCATCTGGTCTGTAGACAGTGAGCAGCCGAGTTTTTGGACTTCTGTCGCGAACCACGTTCGAACGCGTGCGTCGTCGTCTGTTAGACAGAGACGAGCCATTCCTGTCTCGCGGGGGTTTCTATTGCTGGGTTAGATTGGGAATAGTATGAACAATTGGGGGTTGACATGCTTCCAGTATGGATGCGCAGCGCCCCATTTACATGTTTCGTGTATTGTCTCTGATAGTCGGTCAGGGTTAATTCTGAGGCCGGATGCTGGGGATCTAAAAGTGGATAGTTGTCGGATAGATCGCGTTATGCTTGTAGGGAGTCGCATGTTGATTGATGTGTTCTTAGATATTGTAGATGCAATCGTGTAGCTATGGGTTTTCGTGATATATATGAGATCGGAATGAACGCGCCTTCTAGCAACAGATGCTAGTGGAGACGGATGGAGGATGCTCAAAAACTCCACTTGTCTCTACTGTATTTGGATAAAATAGAACAATTTTATGCTTATTTACTGGAGGAAAAGTGTTGGATTGGGCCGTTTCCTGTAAAGGAGTTTGAAGGCGCCCTCCGATGACATTATGACCGATTCGGCAAGTGAAAGTATGGAAACCTCCCGCCTTCCAACAACATAAGAAAATCTACTCTAACAGTATTCTATCATTCCAAATCTATCACATGCAAGGCTATTAGAATACTACGCCTTCATCTGCTGCTCCCTCAGCGCGACGGTCAAATACCCCGCTACCAGCGCCACACATCCCCCAAATCGCATAACCCACGCCACGCTCTCATCCCAAGGCTCTCCCCTGGGTTTCTGCAACATCTTAAACACAATACTACTAAAAAGACTGGAAACAACCTGCGGAAGCGAAATAAACACATTATGTAGACCAAGAACAATACCAGCTTGTCCTGCTATGCCGGCATCGCCACCTTCAGTTGACTCTTCATCGTGACGGGACGACTGGGAGACACTTTGGCCGGTATCGTGCTGCCCTATTTCTCCCGCAATGAATGCCCAGGGTGCCCACGATGTGATTGCCCATGGGATGCCGATTATTCCTGTCATTACTGATGCGGCTGCGGTGGTGGATATGAAGAATGTGCTGAGCATGCAAGCCGCGAAGAGGATGTGTGATAGCAGCCAGAGGCGTCGGAGTGTTAGACCAGTCCGAATACGTGCGCTGAACATTGGTATCCGCCATGACGGCCCGGAACCCGAATCAGTGCCTCCTCCGACCTCCTTGCCAGGAGGAATCAGAAGGGGAAGGATGATGCTCGCTGCGAATGAGACAATCGCATTTATGAAGAGCGCAAATGTACCAATCCGTGTGGCATCCGCCCACTTTTTATCGATCTCGTCATCGGATAGATGGCGATGTTCATCCAAGACCGGGTTAACGTACAATTGGCCTATATAGGTCGTCGCGTAGAATAGGAACAAGAACCATCCAAACCAGGACGCAAACTGAATTGCAAAAACTCTCCGTGTCTGCGATGAAAGTTGATTGACAGACTGATGAATCAACCGGGCGAGCGACATGGCGGTTAAATTATTGGCTGCCGGTGATTCCTCGTGGTGGACTTGCTCTTGCGTGTAGATGCAAGTTATCAGTAGCGTAGCTAATAGCGAGAAGCTTGTCAGTACGCACAGCACTTGAAACTGCGTGTTCCCCAGAGTAGGGAGAATTTTTGGTAGATCCATGAAACCAAGGATGCAGCCCAGTATATTTCCTGCTCCGCTAACACGACTTGCCCAGGCATTTGCCGTTTTTTGCTGATAAGAAGGGGCAATGTCGACAATCAAAGCACGAGTTGCCGCCTGGACTGCTGCAGTCAGATTCACTTTCAAACAGGCTAGGATCAGCAAGTGAGGATACTCACTTGTGTTAATCGCAAAGTCAAGACAATACATCAAGATCATCGCAGCGGCGATCGCAGCTACTTGCACCTTGTCAGATTGAGCATCGACGCCAAATATCCAGAGCAAAATCCCAACTATTTCTCGAATCCACGCCAGCGCCAAGAGGCTTATCACGGTCACAGTCCCGCCAAAAATCATAAAAGGCTTTCTTTTACCCCAGCGGCTGCGGCAGTTATCACTGCGGATACCAATGTAGGGCTGTACGAGCGTCCCGGTAAGAGGTCCAGCAACCCAGACAAACGCAAGCAATGCCTTGCTCATTCCCAGAGAGAGGAGATATGGCTTTTTTCATTTTGCGGTTAGAGATGATCCATGACGGCTTGACTAAAGTGACCCACGGATCCACTAGAATGCTGGATAGACCAGACTACTTGAAGACTGGTTACCGGTTAACGATTATGTGGAAACAAAATAATGCAACCTTTCAAATCTTACCCTCCCATAGTGAGAGTCAATATAAACAGCTCCCAACTGCTCTTCGGTGCCTGATGAGGCTCACCCTGGCTGGCAGGGATCTCCGACTCATCATGGATCAAGGGTGCCGCCTCGTTGTTTGCTTGGATTTCTGGTACATAACTCGATATTCCATTGACTGCCATTTCTGGATTGAAGATTGCAACGTAGTTGGCGCCCAATTGATCTAACTAGGGGTAAATGCGAGACATAACACGTGACCTATATCGGCAGAATGTTTCTCCTCTGCCCCGAAGCTCCCCCGTTTCAATCACTATCGGAAGAAACTAAAACTTGCAGCAGGTTATGCATGATTTAAACCCCCGCTGTTAAGGGCTGATGAAGCCGGATCTGGAGAAGCTGGATCTGGTGCTGGCGAGTCTCTAACAGTTAACGTTGGCTTGTTCTTGTTCCGTTAATGTGACATTTTCGGAGATGATCCCTTCCATATACCAATAACTGCGGGGGATTAGTGGAGCGTCACAGTCATGTCGTCGCATTCTTTTTTTCTCGGCGCCCCTGGTGGTTCCCGAATCCTTCAAAAGCGGCAGGGTGTCGCGTGTCCTCCATGCTCCCAACATCATCAAGATGAAGGGGTTTCTGTCACTTATCAAGGCCGCTGGCCAGACCCTGTGGGAGCACACAGGCTGGGATAGCACTCGCAAATATCTCTTTTCCGTCGTCTTCGTCTCCGTTGTCGCCTCCAAAATCCTCAATATCTACACCCATTCCTACTATCTGACCCCGAATCGTTTCCTCATTTGGGGCTCGACCTTTTTCCTGCAAGATGTTATATTTCTCCTTGTCGCACGCGCTTTCGCCTGGTCGTTCCAACGGTGGTCGCTCTCGATCATGGGCGGCGTAGCCATCCTTTTTCTTGGTCTATACGTCTCGCTCCTGGCCGCGGCGACCATCTCTTTCTACGCCGTTATGGGCCGCGACTTCCACTGGGGTCCGGCGATTGGTTTTTTCGGAGACATGGTAGACGCCAAAGCCCTGGTGCTAGGCATCTTTGGTGCCATCTTCTTCGAGATTGTCATCTTGGTCGGCTCGTATTTCGCCACTCCACATGTATATGAGGTTACCGGGGGGTTCGCCAAGGTTTGGTCTTTATCCGTATCGGCCCTGCTGCGTTGCGTCTTCCGGAAGAAAAAGCAACAACCTCTCCCAGATCCAGAAGTCTACGAGCAGATTGCTTTCGATGACCAAGAGGATGATAAGAGTGACAATGAGTTCGGATTACCCATGGAGCCGCCCCGGCTTCGCAAAAACCCCGGCGGCCACCCTTCTGTGTCCTGGCTGAAGTATTCCGTCGTCATTTCGGTCAGCCTGATTGTCATTTTACTCAGTTGCGTTCGACCCCGTGATTGGGGATATCGCATTCTCTCGCGTACCCTCCCTGCCGTGCCCTTCTCAGCCCGCGCGCATCCAGTTTTTGAGGGCATCGAATACCTGCCGGGCGATTACAGTTGGCTGGAAGACCACACCGCGCTGGACACTCCTCCAGTCCTCGATTGGTTACCCACTGGTGAGCCGCTGCCCGGCTTCAAGGATTGGTACTCCCTTCCTTTGAACAAGCGCAATGAACAGGCTCCCAGGAACTACGTGCCGATCCATTACAACCCGGCCAAGGATCCGCTACACATACCGAACCTTCAGAACGACATCCTAGAGCCGCTGCGCGAAGCACTTAGCAGTGGAGAAGTCAATATCAAGCACATTATCCTCATGAAGCTGGAGAGTAACCGACAGGACATGTTCCCTCCCCACGCTGACTCCTACATGATACAGCGCGTCAAGGAGACTTACGGCGGTCAGATCCCCAAAGAAGTTGAGGATCGATTGGCCCATCTCACGCCCAATGCCGAGAGTTTTACTGGATTCGACAATGGATTCGGTAAAAGTGATCAAGACCGTCCCAAGCCCCGCGGTGGCCTCAGCGCCAAAAACGCCTACACCAGCGGTACTTTTACACTCAAGAGTATTACGGGATCGCACTGCGGTCTAAGCCCACTGGCCGTCGACATGAACCGTGAGTGGTTGTACGACATTTACCAACCGTGCCTGCCACAGATCTTGGACGCAATGAACCGCCAACCCAACATCACGAGCGAAACTGATGATTGGACCTCTTGGCCGTGGCATACCATGTGGATGCAGTCCGTGAGCGCGGAATACGACTACATGAGCCAACTAGTGCCCATTCTGGGATTCCAGGATCAAATGAACAAGGAGACAATTGATCAGGTTGGCGGCGAATATGCCCCCGACGAGTCGCAGTTGGTCCCCGAACGTGGCTACATGGATAAAGTACTAAAGAATTATCTCCGCGACGTGGTTGCTGATGCCGAGAGAAACCATAAGCGCCTCTTTCTCGGTCATCTGACGGGCGCTGTGCACCGTCCTTGGGATCTTCCGGGTTACCAGTACGAAGATCTGGTGGCTGATAAGGGTCAGACGCAGAATGATTACTTTAACCGATACCTGAACAACCTGGTCTACCAGGATGAATGGTTGGCCGACATTCTGAATATTCTCCAGGAAGCTGGTGTTGCCGATGATACTCTTTTCATCATGGTTGGTGACCAGTAAGTTCTATCCACATTTTCCCCATCCTTGTACAAAAATAATAATGATCATTCAGCGGTGTTTCTCTCCCCAACGACGGCGGCGTCACACCTCACGACAGCCCACACGTCCAAAACGAGCACGTCCCCCTAGTCTTCTCCCACCCCAAACTCCCACAAGTCGAAATTGATCTCCCGATTCAATCCACCCAAATCCTCCCAACAATCCTCGACCTCCTCCTCCAAACTCCGTCCCTCAACCCAGCCTCGCAACAAATCACCAGAGATCTCCTCCCCATGTACCAAGGCCAGTCGCTCATCCGCCACCTCATTCCAGAACACAAGCACACGCAAGAATGGCACATCACCACCCTCAACACCGGAGGACAATGGATTGCCGTGCGCTCCATGACAAAGCAGTACCGCGTTGTGGTGCCTCTTACCCCGAATGCGAAGTGGCGGTTTACGAATCTCGAGGATGATCCGTTAGAAATGCGGGCTATTAAGGATTATGGGATTCTGTCGCTTGTCAATGTTGTTAAGAGGAGGTATGGCGTTGAGGCGGCGGATTGGTTGGGTGAGGCGGTTCATGTTGCGAAGTGGTGGATTGAAGACAATTATCGCCGTTGGGGTTATGATCCTACTGCGCCGAAGAATCCTTGAATTCTCTGGCCTACACCCGAAAGCTGGCTGAACCCCGGAAGCGAGTTTGGTTTCAAGCGCTTCTCTTCGCTTATAACCTAGCGCAGCATTATTGGGATTTGATCTATCCAAAAACTAAAACTGGCCGCACCCTGGTTCGTGGAGGGCCGGCTGCTTCAGCCGGAGCGGCCATAAGTGTTATTTAGGGAAACGGGCCCATTAAAACCCAGGAATTTGTATACAGTATATTGGAATCTTTACAACACATAAATATTACCGCAGCATTACGGAGCATTTTCCCAAGAACGTTATGGTCGCATTGCGCTATTTAAGGCCGCAAGGCGTGCTAATCAAAAGCCGAGAACATTCCATATTTTCTCATTGGATCTCTTATCGGCTAACTATACATACCCCCATGTCGCTGACTAACGCTTTCCGAAAATGATCCCGATTCCCCAAATTTCGTAAAGGCTTTCTCTTTGCGCCTGTACGAATAATTGAAGGTCGATCCTGAGTGTAAAAGGGGTGAGTTGTACGCATACTACCAGGTCTTTTTGCAGTGTTGCTAACCCGAGGCAAAAGACCAGTATATACCTCCGTACATACCAGAGTACCTCCTCCGACTGTCCCTCAGCACCATGGCAGAAAGCACAGGCCCCACGAAAGGTATAAACAAAATCGATGATACACGCCTATAGAACCTCTAATGATGTGTCTTCAGTGTGGACAACCCTCATCACAAACAATGCCTACCTCCCCGGCCTCCTAACCCTCGAGTACTCACTCCGCAAAACCAACTCCAAGTATCCCCTCCTCGTCCTCTACACGGACTCCTTCCCTGCCGACGGCCATGCAGCCCTCGATTCCCGAGGCTTAATGAAGAAGCGGGTTTCGCACCTTTCTCCTTCGCAGCATAAAGACTACACAAATGACCCGCGGTTCTACGATTGCTGGAGCAAGCTTACGCCATTTTCCTTGGTGGAGTATGAGCGCGTTGTACAATTGGATAGTGATATGGTGGTTCTGCAGAACATGGATGAGTTGATGGATATTGAGCTGGATCCACCGGCTATGGGTGTGACTGGGAATCGGGTGTTTGCAGCGAGTCATGCGTGTGTTTGCAATCCGCTCAAGAAGCCTCATTACCCGAAGGATTGGTGCGCGTTATCCCCACCCAACAACAACAGCAACAGCAATTGACTTTTACATGCTCTCCAGGATCCCAAGCAACTGCGCCTTCACATCTCAACACTCCACCCCTGACGAAGCCCAAACAACCGGCGCCCCATGCATTTTCGGCATAGGACAACCCAATGGTGGTCTCCAAGTCGTTAACCCCTCGCAAGCAATCTACGACAAAATCATCAGCCAGCTCGACGAAGCCTCAACCTCCAACTACGACTTCGCCGATCAGTCGCTTCTCTCTGACCTCTTTCGCGGGCGATGGGTTCCGCTGCCGTACATTTACAATGCGCTCAAGACGCTGCGGTGGAAGGGCGTGCATGATACTATCTGGCGGGACGAGAATGTTAAGAATGTGCATTGTATTCTGAGTCCAAAGCCGTGGGATGAGGCTGAGAAGGAGAGTAATGATGAGACGCATGAGTGGTGGAAGGATTTGAATGCGGAGAGGGTGAGGGAGGAATTGAGCAGGGGGGTGAAGGATGGGTTTCAGGTTAATTATCGCTAAGGTTACTGGGGTGTATCTGCCTGGCTATCTCCATCCATTGCGCAGAATTTGCATATCTATATATCTCTGTTATATTAATATCTACACGGCTTACATAGCAGTGTCTGCCCTTGCGGTACTGTAATTGACGGTAAATTCATTGCATAAAATCCGCCAATACACTTAGCTTGGTGCATATAAATCTCAAACATGGTTCTATCAAGTTCAATACTCGCCAAGTAGTGATGTTGAAGCCCTATGAATTGTGAAAGATGAAGGAATAGTAACGGTGCAATATAGAGCCGTTAGTATGGTAGTATATGTCTTCATGCCAACGTCCTTGATCTGCCCATAGATTCCAAAGCAACCACATCAGCACGGAATCCGACTTTGTCACTCGATGTTATTGACAAAAGAAAGCCTGTTGTCTCAACAAGCAGGAAGAAAAGACCAGCAATCCATCTTAGTCCTGGTTATCCGGACTTGCAGCCTCTCAAGAGATCCCAAACCCATGCCACTGTAATGGCTCAATTACTCCATAATTGCATTGTAAATACCTCTAGCGAGTATTCTTTTTCTACTCTTCCAGAACCATCTGTTCGATTATCATTTATATAACCGGGTCCACGTCCAGATATGTGGAAGATAGATCCAGTTCGCACTTTGTCCATTTCTTATGGAATTATTCGATATTATCATATTACACCAATGGGCAGTACGTCGGTCCGCAAGCGGAGCGCCTGGTTGCTTTAGCAATCAATAACTTCCAGCATACAGCGGCAGTATTCTAATCCTGCCGCATGCTACGGATGAGAACTATTAGGTCCTCGAAACAAGGAACAAAACAGGCCTCCGTGGCTGGATTATTGTTGTATCTTGATTTAACTCCACCATATTAGGTCTCTGCATCTTGTTAGGGAGATATTCGGCATTGCAATAACCATTGCCATAGCGTTTCCCATGCGCATTCAAATTGCTGGCTGTAACGATAGCCGTAGGAATCGGGTGTTCTTCAACGGTTTCCACTCAATGATGCAGGAAATGACTTTGTCTTCTGAGACCACCTTGTAGTCACCACCCGCCGTAAATACTGATGTAATGCATTGCTAATCGAATTGGAGCTCCAAGAGCCCCTTGTTTGGCAGGGGCAAATTATGTGAGAGGACTCATCCCTTTCAGAGTCTTGTACAGGTTTCTTTGCAAATACGGGTGATCCATATCTATCCCCAACTTCCATGTGCCCTAAGGATACTCAACGAGTAATTTTTGGTGTCAATAGGCACTTTCAAGTCTGTCGATAAGTATATCTCTGCGGCCATGTCTTGCACCATGTCCTTTGAGAAGGTAGTTGAACACATAAAAATCGGAAATAAACCATCCGTCCCTTTGCGTTGCAGAACTCATTCAGAAGAACTGCAGCCAATACTATGGTGCTTTTTACGGACAACAGCAAGTGTTTCTGGCAGGCCAGCGCAAATAGACACCTTTCTTTGATGTTGCATGATCAACGTCAGAAGTGTCAATCGAGCAAGAGAGGCGATGTGAATCTGCGAGGAAATGAATAAACTTTGGTAATCAGGGTAAGTCGAGGTTATTTGGGGAGATATCAACCTCGAATATTCGCAGTATATCAAGTTAACTTAGTGAGACCGTATAACTGTCGTGGTTCTAAGAACACATGACGATACAGGCAGTTTTGTCGCTGCAATACCTGTTCTCGGCTCAGTCAAGATCAATACTGTTGTACTTAGCGTCAAAGGGACACAGGGTGATATGGCTAGACGGAGTATGCTGATATTCGTGCATTCTTTAAGCATGCCAATTGTAACCTTCTCAAGTGCCTTAGGAAACTTGGACTCGGGTATTTGGTACTGTTCTCTTTCGTACCACTTCTGGTCAGACTATGGCTTAGTTTGCAACACCAGCACAGTACAGGCTCCATCTTGTAGAGTGCTTTCGAGAGGGGATAATTCTCCTGTTCAGCTAACACCTTGCCAACAACATAGGATAGCGGTTCTGTATATGCTATGATGGGGTTGAAAGACCTCCCGCGCCACCCCTAGCAAATGCTATGCTGATTCATGTACATGTTCTGTTGTTGGAGCACCTGCTCCCTTTCAGCTAGATCATTCGTCTTTAACAAGGCTTTGAATTTTCCGATGCAAGCTGCGTATAAATCCGTTTTGGGATTCAAAACTGAGAAATGCTCTGGCCAGTATATATGGCGTGAGAAGCCTAAAGGATGCGTGAGCTCTAGAATTCTCAGAAATGGTTTTGAACCAGTCAGGCTTGAACGCTCCCCCAGAATGACGCTGGAACTTCAGATTGTCCTAGTGTTTCTGCGGCTTCTTAGCCGATGATTATGTCAATCTCCTTCAATTCGTTATCACCTTGTCGATGGCTTAGATATTCTGAACGTATGTCAAAAATGCATATTTATGGGGTCAACAGATCTCAATGATTTGTAGTGATTTGTGTCATGGCCTCTCATCCAGATTCAAATGCGCAGGACATTCCGACTTCGAGACACAATCAGGAAATGAAGTGATTGTTGCGGGGTGATTGAACTATCATCGATCAAATTTAGAATTTATACTCAATTCAACACTGAAAATGAATATCACTTGGTGCCAGCATGTACATTAGTAAAAGCACGTAAGGCCATAGAGCACTGCACCATCCAACATAACTATAAACTCAGCAAATAGTCACTTGTCATCTACTAGTAGAAAGCGTAAGGAAACAGTAAAGCTTTCCCTGGACAATTCATCATCAATCGACTCTCGGGTTTTAACTTAATCCCGCGCTGAATAAAAATTGCCGTCGGTCAGTTCGGTCGGAGAGAACAAGATACCGAAGGGAAGAAGACTGTTATTAAATTACTTGAATATTGCTGCAGCTTGTTCCAGATGAGGGTTCTTATCGAGTCCCTGTAGAAGTATATATTCCTTGGAGATGACCGTGATGAGTCAAACCATCTTTTCACCTCATTGAGCTCTAATCATGTTTCAAGTCAAAGACGCCGTGATTCCTGTGGGATCTTGGATTCTGGTCACTGGGACAAATGGCTATATAGCCTCCCATGTGGCTGATGAATTACTACAACTTGGGTACAATGTCCGTGGGAGTGTCCGTAACCTGGAAAAAAGCCATTGGATCCAAGATCTGTTCAATCAGAGATACGGTGACAACAGGTTTGAACTAGTCCTTGTTGAAGATGCGACGCGCAAGGGCGCCTTTGAGGAGTCCGTCAAAGGTAAGTTATATTCCTCCTATTTGGTGAGGGGATACCTGACACACTCTCTATTCCACCACTAGGTGTTTCGGCCGTGGCGCACGTAGCAACCATCCTCGGCAGCCCAGGAAGCCCAGTCGAGTTCATATCTTCCGTAGTGGACATGAACTGCAACGTGTTGGAGACCGCTGCAAAGGAGACCAGTGTGAAGCGGTTCGTGTACACATCGTCATCCGAGTCTGCCGTCTATACGTCCGTTGACCAACCGGGCGAATCACCGGTGACATCGCGTTCATGGAATGAACTCGCCATCACCAGAGCACAGGGTGTATCCTCGCCAAGTAGAGGGTTTGATGTGTACGCTGCAAGTAAAACTCGGGGGGAACAGACGATCTGGACATGGATACGGGAGCACAAGCCCGGATTTGTTGCCAACACAGGTATGGGAACACCTCAATTGCTCCAAAAATATTATTTATTGACTTTTCCTGTCCAGTCCTACCTTCCTTGTGCTTTGGAGGCTCGATAGATCCCCAGAATCAGGGACATCCATCATCTTCTGGGTGGCCGGTGGCTATATTTCAAAACCATATAGATCCGATCATGCCAATCCTCAACTCTATTGTACCGCGAGGTGAAATCTGCCTTGTCCCCCTCCCCCCTCATTTCCCGATAACTGACTAGCTGTCATCTAGGTACCTACTGCGTCGATGTACAAGATGTTGCAGCCCTCCATGTCGCGGGTTTGCTGCACCCCAACGTGGAAAGCGAACGCATCTTTGCTTTCGGGGCCCCGTTCCACTGGGCCGATATCGTGACAGGGTTCTCGAAACTATTTCCAGAGCGCGATTTCCCCACAAACATGACGGGTCTGGGAGAGCAGGAGAAAGTCCTCAATATTGAGAGTGCAGAACGGTCAGCAGGTCTGCTGAAAGAAATGGGCTGGTCAGGCTGGACTTTACTGGAAGATACCTTGAAAGCCAATATCGCTGATCTGGTTTGAACTGATGCTTGTATTCAATGGGAGATGAAGCTGTTCAATATACATGGCTAAGATTGGTTTAGAAGCCAAAAAGCAGTAGCCTTGTATTATTACTGCCATCATTTGTCAGACATCTTATATCCTCCCGCTCACCTATGGCTTTATCAATATAGCCTCCCATGCCAGATTCATGTATAATTTTGGCGATACAGCAACGCATTTCGAGGATTACAGGATGAGGCAGTGGAACAGTAGAGTATTGCCTGAGCCAAACTAGCCGGTTGCTTTGTATATCCCAGCTCCCCGCGTCATATCGCTTATATTTTCTGGTCCGAGACCGACTCGCCGGAAACAATTCCTCAAACTCGACCATATCTGAGATACTCTGTAGTCCTGTAATCCGTCGGTATTCAGCACGGTGAGCTTAATCAACGCTAACAAACCTCTCAATTATCGTGACACCCCATGGAGAAAAGTATGGTGTGGCGAGCCCCGTTTCGCATACATATTTCGGTTGTTCCCTGGTGACCTTTCCATTTTTCAAGGATCTATCAGCCAAGCTTAACGCCATGCAGTGGTAATCCCCCGAACGAGACATATGCTCTTCCTCACTAATAGCTCGCTTTGGGCCAGCATTTGCTCCATATTCATGTAGAGTGCAGCGCGTGTCGACTCAGAGATATTTGTAAAACGGCAGAGGTGATGATGGCTGTGGTATCGTTGGACTTGCTTCCACTGAGAAAATGCCAGTAGTCACATGCAATGCAATAGCAAAGTGAAACTCACTTGGTATTGAAAAATATATCAGCAATTCATGTAAAGACAGTAAATCCCTGTATCATAAAGAGTAACAATAAACCCAGCCAGCATCTGTCTGCCACCTACCGTAGGAAATGTAGAAAGCTGGTGAGGGTCTCTCGAGTGTAGTCTTCTTAGTCCCTTAGTATATAAGATGCGACTCTATTAGCGGCTGCTTCTACGTCAAATTGTGATGGTATGTTGTTTAGTGGGTTCTGAGTATTGAAGAAATCTTTTATTCTTTCATCTGCTGCTTTCTCCGGGTCAGCTGCCCCCATGTTGGACGTAGATAAATTTAGTGAGGATAGTAGTTGATAGAGAAATGTTTAACGGGAAAGATAGCCCTTCCAAGCCTCAGAATGGCAGTCATACACCACATATCTTACAGGGTTAGGGTGGCCGTGTAACTACATTTCTTCTCCCTAGCAAATTCCGACCTCACGTCGAAATGCCTGGATATCAGCACAAAAAGTACATACCACCATCTACACTACATCAAGTAATTTTGCTAGGGTATATTTCAGAGGGTACATTGGGTTCAACGTTAAAAAATTATCCTGTTTCACGCGAGAACATCAGAATAAGACACCCTTACTCTTGGACTATCACCATGAATGCAGGTAGTAAACGATGTTTAAAATCATCCAATCTGTATCGGCCCAACCGGTGCATCCAACAACGTCAACAAAATCTGCACAATCGTCTCTCCCAGCACCACCAACGCGCCCGGATCCAACAAACTAGTAAACGATGTCGACTTCGAGCACCCTGCTTTGACAGGAACCCCATTCATCCGATCCTCGAGCCACATCAATGTATCCGGAACGCCAATAATAGCCAACGAAGCATGCTCAGAGAGGGCGTCGCGCTTGTACTCCACGCGAGATCCGCCATCACAGTACGACGCGACGAGAGAGTCTGTGTTGTTGACGGGGGATATTTCATCGCCGGCGGATTTGTACACGAATAGGGGGATTTTAGGGTTGTGGTGGCCCATTGCATTGGCGTTGATGACTTTGCTGGCTGTTGCGGAGGTGAAGATTTCCTTGTCCTTGACGAAGGTGTTTACGTCTTTGTTCAGATATTCGAGAATGTTTCCTGTTAGACAGAGGTTCTTGGTTTTGGAGAATTCGGCGGCCTTGGCTGGGATGAGGTTTTGTTGTATCAGTTTGGCGATCTCGGGGTATTCGTTGGCGAGGCCTTGGACGCCTGCTGGAATTAGGCCGGCAAAGGGGCTCTTGTTGGCTTCATGAATGACGGGTAGGATCTGTGGGACGGTGCCGCCCAGCGCAGCACCTTGGATGTTGAGCTCGGGGGCGTAGCTGGGTTGTAGCTCGGCGGCAAAGCCGCTGGCAAGACTGCCTCCTGAGTATCCCCAAAGGGCGATGGTGGGGTCAGACGAGAGATCGGTCAAATTCGTGGATGCTTTGGCTGCCCGGATGTTGTCCAATACCACATGTCCTGACAAGTGGTTGGCCAGGAAAGCCGATTTGGGTCCCAGATGGTCGGGCACGGTCACGACCCATCCCCTTTGCAAGGCGGCAGCAATGAGGATCAGTTCCAATTGCGGCATCACCAGACCCAGGGTGCCATCATGGGCAGCCTCGAGTTGGAATGCATAAGAGGGGGCGCAGTTGGGATCGGCCGCATCTTGGGCCACTTGGTAGGAGAGCAGTTTGGTATAATCGGCATTGTGAGGCACCAGAATCGTGGAAACAGCCGCAATTGGTTCGCCAAAGGAATCGGTCGTCCGGTAAAGCAGTTGATGCGCCGAGCGAAGGTTCACTTTTGCCAGACTGAAGGCTGCAATGGGCTTTGGGGGCGTCCGCGATCGCAGGATGTCTCCTGGGGCTGCCGATTCGAAACCTTTAGGTGGGATATAAAAGGTGTCATTTACCGGAAGGATAGAATCTGTCACTGCCGCTGGTGCTGTCAGGGCCAAGGGCAGCAGCGCGAACAGCTGCAGCAGGAAGAGGAAGACCATGATGGGCCGATGGCGGGTACCGGGTGGTTGAGAAGACCATAGCCCCGAGGGAAGGTGTCTCTATTTGTAGCAGTCTGTCAAGGACATGGCCAGGCTGTTCTAAGCTGTTTAGATTCTATCCTCGGTCCACTGTTCCTAATCGGGCCTCTTATTTGCTTTTTTTCTTTCTTTTTTCTCGAGGTGATCAACAGCCGAGGGTGACGCCGTCGAAAATTATGCCAATAGAGTTCTATTGCGATCCTCATGAGGAACATCTTTGAGGGGTAAGAGGATCTCGGTACTCCACAGTTCGCACTCATATACAAATTCGAAAACGATTCTTTTCTTCTCCTTTCATATAGAGAACCATGGTACGAAACTGCTCTATCCGGAATGCGGAGTATAGAACCGGACATGATTCCTTGCCTATGCAAATTTCAAGTATGCAAGTGGCTATGCAGCTATCGATTCAATGCATAAATATGCGTTTCTAGGCGTGGTTTGAGCCCAAAAAACACATGTTCGGGTGTTCCTGAATCGGAGAATATGAACCACTGTTCGTGGATGTTTCAGCTGGACGAAAATTGGGGTGTCCCAACATTATCCACCGAATCTCAGCAACGCCCCAGATAGTGGTTCCGTGAAAAAGGCTCCATTATTGTGACCGAGTCCCACTGCTGGGCGGGCGATCCGTAAGGCGTACGAACATGGCTTGTATCGGTAGGATATAACAGGCGCCATGATTCAGCGATGCTCATCATTGGTACTGGACCCCTGGCATATCCCGTACCGGTGGCAGTACCAATAGCAACCTTGGAATAATTATGTGCCATTTCGTACTCTGGAGTATCTCTGCGTGGAATCTGTTAGTTCAGTCAGCATGTGCCTTCGGAACGGATGTCCGACAGAGGACCTGCCGAGAATAGTATTGGCGATAGCGACAAGACTAGCAACCGCTAAAGGTGGAGATTCGCGCCTCAATGCTTTTTTTGACAGTTCTATTCGTCTGAATACTGTATTGTAGATAACAAGATGAGAATAGACATTGTATACTATGAGTGAGGACATTGTAGATAACGCCACCGTCGGATGCGGCCGGACGTTGTTCCTTCTTGATCCTTCTGGCGTCACTCCCACAATCAAGAATAATCTCTTTCTATTTTCTTTTTTCTTTCTTTCTTCTGCCATCGTCATCTGAGAAGTATACTTCCAGGGTCATTTCGTTAGAGTCTCTGCATTTGAATATACTCACCTATACGCCCTATTACCCGCCAGTCGTCGCATCCGTCAATCTTTTCTCTCCTGTCGCGGATCCTCGCGCCATCGAGCGCGCCGCAGAACAATCGCCATGGCGCTCTCCAAAACCAACAAGATCATTATCCTGCTGGTTATTGATACTGCCTTCTTTCTGTTGGAACTCATCGCAGGTTTGTCGTTGCCATTGCTCAAGAGTCTTGTATCCGGTGACACTGATAGGAAACAGGTTATACGGTCCATTCCCTTGCCCTTATTGCCGATTCCTTCCATATGGTACGATACACCCGTTCAGGATGAATGCATGCAGCGTCTAATTGATACGAGTAGTTGAACGATGTGCTATCCTTACTCGTGGGATTATGGGCCGTCAAAGTCGCCAACCGCGAGCCAAATTCCAAGATGTATACCTATGGCGTGAGTTATCTTGCCCATCCCTGTTTAGCACTGGTGACACAGACTAATCTTAAATGCGCATCCTAGTGGCAACGCGCAGAAACACTGGGTGCATTAGTCAATGGCGTCTTCCTTGTCGCCTTGTGTGTCTCCATCTTTCTCGAAGCAATTCAACGATTGGTGGAGCCGCAGGAAGTGAACAATCCGAAATTTGTCTGTATTGTCGGATCTTTGGGTTTAGCATCCAACCTCCTGGGTCTCGCTCTTTTCCACGATCACTCCCACGGTCATGGTCACAGCCATGGTCCCGAAAATGAAAGTATGGAAGACGTGGATGCTGCAGAGCAGGGCTTCGGCCAACAACATGCTGAGGAGTACGAGAATGCCGGGAAGGCAAATGGCAAGCAGGCCAAGGTCACAGATTCGACTTCACCCTATACACAGCGCCGCCGGACCGTGGACAGCCAGGCTCGCGGTTCTCGTCGGTACAGCGCGTCGGCGGGCCGTGGCTTTGATGTAGAGGATATCTCCCATCCCGTGACTTTACGACAAGAGATCATCGCTGCAAGCCAGACCAACCGGTATGGAGTGGAAACATCCGAGTCAGATAGCGACGCGCGCGAAGGTGACGAGGTTCAACCATCCGAACATTCAGCACTTCTGAGCCGCAAGGATCGGAAGTCCAACTACACCGATGAGGATAGTACGCCTACCAATGGACAAGATGTGACTGCGGATGACCTTCATCGTCACCACAAGCACGCACAACCGAAGCCCAAGGACGAGAAGGGTGGTCACAGTCATGACCTGAACATGCGTGGTGTATTCCTTCACGTCATGGGTGATGCTCTGGGTAACATCGGAGTCATCGCCTCCGCACTTATCATCTGGTTGACCGATTATTCGTGGAAACACTACGTGGACCCGGGTATCTCTTTGTTTATTACTATCGTTATCCTCTGCTCGGCCATTCCTCTGTGCAAAGCGGCGTCGCGTATTCTGCTGCAGGCGGTTCCTTCCGGTCTGAGCATCGATCACATCAAGGATGACATTGAGCAACTTCCCGGGGTGATTGGCTCGCACCACCTCCATGTCTGGCAGCTGAGTGACACCAAGATCGTGGCGTCGATCCACATTCAGGTTGACACGGAAATCAAGGGTGAGGGCTCTGAGCGGTACATGCATCTGGCCCGCCAAGTACGGAAATGCCTGCACGCCTATGGCATTCACTCATCCACCATCCAGCCCGAGTTTGCCCCGGACAGCGACACTGAGGACAACCAAGGCGGTCCATCGTCTTCTCGGGCGAGCAATCATGACCACAACCTAACCAGCAAGCAGCCCAGCCGTGCTGCCAGTGTTCGTGAGGATGCGCAAGCATGTCTTCTCGAATGCGATGAAAATTGCGCTCGCGGCGGGCAATGCTGTCCTAAGAAGCCTACATAACTGCGCCTTATCTTCCGCTGTTTTCATCTTTATACACTCTGTTGATTACCTTATCATCATTATTGACCTGGTTGTATCAATTGTTACTTCCTTCGATATTTCTCATACCCGCTATCTCTACACGGCAGTTTTCAGTTTCACCCAGCACTGATCTCAAGGGTTAACATTATCATAGAACAAAAAGTTGGCGTTTGATGGGCTGGGCGATTATCATGGATTATACAGCATGTTTTGGACTGGCAATTGGACTGTGTTATACATTTCTGCATGTATCCTTACTTAATTCCTAATTCAACACTGCATGCTGTTCCTGGGGCTTATTTAGAATTCCTGCCGCGGTAAATCACGTGTCATGAGCGGTAGATCGGCGCCCATCGCAAGCAAAGGAATCATCCAGTGTGAAGCTCTCTCTTCGATAGTAATCCCAATTATAACTCCTTAAGAAACTACCACTATGTTCTGACCCTGACATTTATTTCATCACAACCGTGGAAATCGACGGTTGACCTAATTTCTACACCCTGAAGCCCCAAGCAATGCGGAACCGTTGAATCCCCTTTCTACGGAATATTTCCAAAATAACCATGAGCTACGCCTACTCAAGCGCTCCCTTCCGTCCCGCCCGTCGCGATTCCATCTCTTCACCATCCACCATCCTCGTCCAAATACAAAACGGACTCCCGCCATGGGCGCAGCAATGGATTGCGAAACTACGCGCGGGACCGCGGGCAGGGAGACAGACGAGTCCGCGTGAATGGAAAGCTATGGGACGGCTTACGATTAGACGGGTGGTTACGATTGCGAATGCGTTGATTTTGTTTTGGGTGTGGACGTTGTGGTGGGGTGAGCGGACGGTGTTTCAGGAGAGTTTGGAGGGATGTGGTTGGGGGGAGTGGGAAAAGTGGGTGAGTCGTCCTTGACTCTCCATTTGGGTTGGGAGTTGGAAGCTGATTATTTTTGCCATGACAGCCATCGCATGCTACTCCTCATCATGTCGCCTTCGTCGCCGATCCGCAATTAGTCGACCCCCATACGTATCCCGGACGGCCATGGCCGCTGTCGACTCTGACGGTGAAGTTTACGGATCAGTACCTGCGGCGGTCATTTTCGTTGATTCAGAGAAATTTCGGGCCCGATTCGGTATTGTTCCTAGGTGATCTGTTCGATGGCGGGAGAGAATGGGCGACGGGGACGACATCTAGCCCCGATGAGCGCTACAGGAAATACAAGGATTCGTTTTGGAAGAAAGAGTACAGTCGCTTTGGTCGAATATTCTCAGACCAGTTTAAAGAGGGGGATGCACTCTCGCGGGATCCGCTTGGTCGACGGATGATTGCTAGTTTGCCTGGGAATCATGATCTGGGGTTTGGATCGGGGATCCAGATCCCTGTTCGGGATCGGTTTCAGACGTTCTTTGGGAAGGGGAATCGGGTGGATGTGCTGGGGAATCATACGTTTGTGTCGGTTGATACGGTTTCTCTGAGTGCGATGGATCAACCGGATCCGCAGACTGGCAGCACGGGTGCTGGTTCGGGGGATGGCAAGTCGCCTAATGAAGCCATTTGGAAGGAAGCGGAGGAGTTTCTGGACCAGATGAATGTGCACAGGGCGAAGGCAGAGACACACGAGCTGAAGTCGCTCCGGAGCCAGACCGAGGGATATCAATTCAACCATGCTGCTGTGGAAATCAATGAGCCCTCGCATGGTCAACTCCCGCAGTCGGAGACGGTTGGACTTCCAGCTATCCTTCTCACACATGTTCCCTTGTATCGCAAGGCGGCTACACCATGTGGACCGTATCGGGAACATTACCCGCCGTCATCGAGTGACGAGGAACTCCAAGAAGACGAGCAGAACTCGCTGAAGATCGGCGGCGGCTACCAGTACCAGAACGTCCTTACGCAGACCATCTCCAACGACCTGGTATCTAAAGTCGGATCTAACCTCGTGCACGTCTACTCCGGTGATGACCACGACTATTGCGAGGTCGTGCACCGCGAATTCAGCGGCTCGCCCAAGGAGATCACAGTGAAGAGTCTGTCATGGGCAATGGGCGTTCGACGACCAGGTTTCGTCCTCACGAGTCTCTGGAACCCAATCGACCCTGCCACGGGCAAGTCCCTCGAGAATGTCTCACCCACTCTACAAAACCATCTATGCCTCCTCCCGGACCAATTATCAATCTTCATCTACTACGGACTGACCTTGGCATTAACGTTGGTCATCCTCCTCGCACGAGCAGTCGTGGTAACCATTTATCCCTCCCAATCAACCACAGCCGACGCCGGCCCAATGCTCCCCCTCACCGAAGTCCAACGCCATATCCCGACATCCAGTATATCCAGCTCCACCACCTTCGCACCGCGCGGTCTAGCCAGCCGCGGCTCGAACTTCAATTCTAGATCCTTTGAATACTACCCGGAGAAAGGTCGCCAGAGGAGTCCGACCAAGGGCACGTATTCTGGGCAAGGATATGGACAGCAGCCGGGGAATGGACATGGGAAGGGTTTAGTAGGTACTGTGGGGGGGAAGCTTTGGGGTGAGGTGTGGTTTGTTGCAAAGGTTGTGTTGTCGTGGTATATATTTTTGATATGGAGGTGGTAGGTTTTGCATATTCCTTTGACATTTTACCAGTTCTGCAGGTGTAAGTAATATCGCATGACATGGAGTTATTTAGGATGGAGTAATAACAATTCACCCGTACTAAGGACACACAACAAACGAATAAAAAAAAAATACAGAAAATTAATTGGTTGCACTGCACCATCAACACAGCCATGGCTTTCGAAGGGCAAAAAAGACAAAAAAAAAGGATTCCGATGCGGGGAATCGAACCCCGATCTGCTCGGATTTGAACTGAAAACGAGCGATGCTAGCCGTTACACCACATCGGACTTGTTGAAATCTCTATTCAACTAAAAGCTTATCACTTCCTTTGAAGATAATGCCTACCTACTTTATACGGGATACGGACAGATCCAATCGGGCAGATGGACTTATCAACCAACCAAACCCCAAAGATCACACTTAATTTACAGAACCAAGAGCCCTGTGGCAAAGCCATCAGTCACACCAATCACACACACACACCATCAGGGGCTACTGCAACTCGCCACTTCACTGCCACGTTTCGCACCCAGAGAACCAGTGGATATTACACGCAATTGGGCACTCCCGGTAGGAAAGATATCGAACAACGAGCGCTGATTGCACAATCGATAATCCGCTGAAAATGATCATGGAATGTCATTGGTGAATTTGCACGTGACTGATATCGACGGAAGCCTAAAAGGGGAAAAGACGGGGAGGGGGTTGAGACGCGGACGGTACATTTCCCCGGGATTATCTCACGGACACCGCATTCTTGACGGGTGGGTTTTTAGCGATATTAGTTGAAGATGTCGTTCTCTTTTGTCTCGATTTTTACTTGATTTTTCATTTTCTTCTTTCCTTTTGGTTATTTTCGCGACTCTCAGTATGTCGGTGGCCTACGGGGAGAATCCCCGGTCTGCTGCTGCCTTGTCTACCATGCAGCATGGGCTCTTTGATTCTGATCCCATCGAGAACGGTAATCGACATAATTTGCAACCCGACTACGATTCCGGTTTCGACTCGATGCGCGATACCCCCGATATGAAGCAAGGCTACGTACGTTCCGAAATCGAATTGGACAAACTCGACGGGGATGATGATGACGACGATGATGGTGATACCATGGACGTAACCGATGCCCTGCTGCAGGCAGTGCCAAAACCAAAATCGAGCTCGAACTCACGGGCACTACCCCTGCAGAAACATCAGCATGTTCTTTCGCCGCACCCTTTATTCCCCTCGCTACCCACGTACGGCCAACCGACGACGTTCCGGGTCCTGCAGTGGTTCGCCATTCGCTGCGTTTCGTTTGTTCTTTCGCTATTGCTGTTGATATTGGTTGTTGCTGGGGCTGTGGTGCAATGGGGATGTGGGTTTGCGTCTGATGTGCGGATGCGATGGAACGGGGAGAATCCGCAGCCTAGGAAGTTCCATGTGGAGGAATGGGAGAGGGAGTCGGAGAGACAACATGCGGAGTTGAAATGGAAGAGGAGACAGGGGAAGAAGGATATTATTGAAGAAGAAGAGGAAGAGGAAGAAGGACCTGATGAATGCCCCCCGTTGGAAGGAGGGAAGGATCCAGTTGTCGCTGACGTCGCATATTATGCGCGCAGAGTTGGATTGGATGTGGAGACGTTCAAGGTGCAGACGGAAGATGGGTTTATCCTTACGCTGTGGCACGTCTATAATCCTCAGGAGTATGTGCCCCTGCCACCTGAGGAGAGGCAGGTTCGTGGACCGCAGGCGTTCACCGGTGAGCGGAGTCCACGAGTATCGTCAGCAGGAGGCAATCGACGCTATCCGATTCTGTTGATGCATGGTCTGATGCAGAGTGCGGGGGCTTACTGCTCCAATGATGATGACAGTTTGGCTTTCTACCTTTGCAAGTCGGGATACGATGTCTGGTTGGGGAATAATCGCTGCGGGCAGGGCCCGGAACACTCTTCCCTTCCAGCGTCCGACCCTCACCTGTGGTCTTGGAATATCCGACACTTGGGCGTGCTGGATCTGGCTGCACTCATGTCACGGGTGCTTTACGAGACTGGATTCGAGAAACTGGGACTTGTCTGCCACTCCCAAGGCACGACGCAGACTTTTGTGGCCTTGGCCAAAGAGCAACGGCCAGAACTGGGCGAACGTATGTCAGTCTTTTGCGCACTCGCCCCGGCTGCTTATGCGGGGCCGATGCTGAAACGGATATACTTCCGCTTCGTGCAATGGATTCCCAACGCAGTATTCCGCCTGTTCTTCGGCATCCACGCCTTCATCCCCCTCATGATCACAGTGCAGAAAGCCATCCCATCTCGCATCTACGGCACACTAGGCTATCACGTCTTCTCCTCACTCTTTCAATGGAGCGACGCCCGCTGGGACCGGGGCCTCCGCTCCCGCATGTTCCAATTCGCCCCTGTCTATGTCAGCAGCGAGATGATGCGCTGGTGGCTAGGCAGCGACGGTTTCGCAAAACAAGGCTGCGTCCTCTCCACCCAGCAACTCAGCAGCCGTGAAGCCGACGAGGATCACCACGTCGAGTCAGGGATTACCGACGGTTGCACCCGCAGCGACACCGCCTGGTACGGTGCGCAGATGCCGCCGGTAGCGATGTGGATTGCGGGGTCGGATGACCTTGTCGATGGACAACGGCTGTTGAGACGGTTTTGTAATGGGCGGGAACCGCATGTGCAGGTCGTACATGCGAAGATCGTTGATGAATACGAGCATTTGGATGTGCTTTGGGCGATGGATGTTATTGAGCAGGTGGGTAAGGAGGTGCGGGAAGTGCTTTGGAAGACCATGCCCGGGGAGGCGCGGGAAGTGTGCCGCATGCCGCGGGGGGTATGAACATTTTGTTCTGCCTGCCTGTATTATCTATCAACGACTACCATTGATGTCTCATGCCTACATTTACCTTTGTTAATTAATATCTGATGAAAGGCGTTTGCGGGAGGGGGTCTGACTGGGATTTTTGTATACATCTTTCTGTCTGCAAGGATAGGAATAATCTATTTCTGGCCATAATCACGCTTCTCACGTAGGGCTGCGCAGGGCTGTCCAATCACACTCTATACAATGCATTCGGGCATACCGTTGCGTAAACCCGAATTCCGTACCCCCGATAACCCGGCATTGCCTGTAACCTTGGGTGGCAATTTCTGCATGCAATATAATCCGCAGGATTGATACGATACGTCAATAACAACAAGCATGAAGAGCCATAGGAGTATGTAAATCAATCCAGGCAGCAGAATTATAGAGTTTAGGTCCCGGACAAGCTTTCTAGTTCCTAGGCTTGACCTTTAGGTTTCTCGCTTGTTTCTGACAAGACTCTCACTACTCCGTACAGAGAAACTAAGTATAGCGGTGCAGTATTAACGTCGTGGCCGGTAAATCGGCAGTGAATCTCCCGCATTTCTCCAATTTCTAATTCTAGATTCTTGTTTTCCCCAATTTGTATACATCATTGTCCCCGCGCTCGTGCTCGTACCCGTGCCTGTACCTCATGGTATACGATAGATACGGTCATCTCAACTCGTTCCATTTCGTTCCCAGCCAGGCAGAGGCCAGACCGAGGCCCGAGACCTTAGACCGTGACGGTAAATGTACATCCAAGAGCCAGAGTAGCATGGTGTACCGTCGCACCCGACGGATATAAATACTTGCATACCACCCCAATTGCAGACAACCACCATTGCTCTTTACACAATTCACTCAACCGAACAATCAATTGTTAGCCAGCAATTATTATATTGCATTGAATCACATAATGAGACGTATCCTCGCGCTTGTCCTTTTCTTCTCCGCTGCACAGGCGGCTCCGGCGTCGAACCCCGGACTACGTGGCTCGGGGGATCTCGTTGGTTACTCGCCTTCGCACGATGTACCCGTGAAAAATACCTCAGTGCAGTATGAACTGGTGAAGGGACAGAAGGAGGATATGGATAAGGGTGTTTATCTTGATTTCGAGAATGTCGAGAATCCGCAGCCGATTCGCGGGAGTCATGGGGGGACGGATCCGGGGCCGAGTATGTTTTCATTTTCATTTTCTATCGCGGGATAACGGGATGAAGATGAGGATAGTGTGTTAATGAGCAATACAGGGAACGACGCCTATCAACGCCTAAACAGCGACAAACTCGCACCCCCAGGAACCGATAACGGACAGACAATCAACGCACAATGGCCCATGGCACTCAGCCATAACAGACTAGGTATCGGGAACTCAGGTTGGGCGCGCCAGGAAAACACCGTCGTGATGCCTGATGCTACGAAGATGGCCGGTGTTGATATGAGACTTGAGGCGGGGGCGTATCGGGAACTGCATTGGCATGTTGCGGGGGAGTGGTCGTTGGTGTTGAATGGATCTTGTCGGATCCAGGCTGTCAACGAGAATGGGCAGACTTTTGTGGATGATGTGAGTGAGGGGGATGTGTGGTTTTTCCCGAGGTATGTCATCCTGTCAGGGTTTGATTAAGCAGGTGCTGACTGTATAGGGGCGTGCCGCATTCGATCCAAGCCCTAGATGGGGGTGTTGAGTTTCTGCTTGTTTTCGATGATGGGTCGTTTTCGGAGGATAATACTTTCCTGGCTTCGCAGGTGTTTGCTCATCAGCCTGTACGTCCTCATTATTCCACCAAAAGGAACAACATACTGATGGTGAAATAGAAAGAAGTCCTCGCCAAAGACCTAGGGATCCCTCTCTCCTCCCTCGACGACATCCCTCAAGACGAACTCTACATCTTCCCCGGCACACCCGCCCCTTCAAATATTTCAGAGCAGAACGTAACAACGCCCGCCGGCCCCGTCTCCCGCTCCCAAAGCTACACCTACCACTTCTCCCAACAACCCGCCCACCGCGTATCCGGTGGCTCTGTCAAAATTGTCGACCCCTCCACCTTCCCCATCGCCTCTAACTTCTCCGCTGCAATCGTCACCGTGAACCCCGGCGGCATGCGCGAGATCCACTGGCACCCGTCCAGCGATGAATGGACCTTCTTCATCAAGGGCCAGGGCCGCGCAACGCTCTTTGAAGCACCAACTACAGCAACCACATTCGATTATGCAGCCGGTGACGTGGGGTACTTTCCCCAGTCGAATAGCCATTATATTGAGAACACGGGGGACGAGGAGTTGGTGTTTTTGGAGGTGTTGCAGGCGGGGAGTTTTACAGATATTGCGCTGGGGCAGTGGATTGCTAGTACACCGAGGCAGATTGTGAAGGATACGTTGGGGTTGAGTGACGGGACGTTGGGGCTGTTGAAGACGGAGAAGCAGTATGTTGTTGCTGGGAAGGGTTCATGACGTTAATGTTGTCTACAGCGATGCACTGCAAAATATGGAATCTATAATGCCATAATGTCTGGATTGATAGCTTGAAGTTAATCGATAACGCATAGCAGTTTGTGTTTGTGCAAGTGGAAGGGCATATAGTCCCGTTAAACATATACACACCACCCAAAGCATAATCATAAATCACGACGTCCACAACGTAGGCCAACTATCCAACTCCCTCAGCGAAAGGTCCTCCGGCTGCACAAGATCCATATCACTCCCCGATCTTCCCAAAAATTCCTGCATAGTTGGTTCCAGAAACGCCATTTCAGTGGTGAACCCGATTCCAGATGCCGTTGAGGCATTGGGAAGGTCGGGTAGATTCACGATTGCATCTGGTGTGTTATAAACGCTGCTGTTGTTATTATGCTCGTGGATATTGTTCTCACGATAGTCTTCATCTGCAAAAGTCGTAGATGGGTTAAGAGTCTCCTTCACCCGAATAAGATTCTCATAGAACTCCGCAGCGGCCAGATTCCCATGATCTGTCATTCTGTGTAGAATCTCAATACCCGTCTCAAGGGCCTCGGTGTCAGCGGTATTTCCGATAGCGCTTGATCCCAGGAGGCTTGAGATGACTAGTGTCAAGGTCGACGAGAAGAGATACTGCGCATAGAAATAGCCGTACATAGGGAGAGAACCGTTGATCCATTCATCGACGACGAGGGAGTGCGAGTGTCGTGCCGCGTGGATGCAGGCTTCGCTTAGGGTTATTACGGCTTGGGGCATTTGGGGTGTTTTGGTGGGTTTGTGGTGTTGGTAGAGAGCGTGGAGGAGGATGGGGCGGGTGGCGAGGATCACGCACTGCCTTGTTAGAGATTATACAGACTAGGTCTAGTAGGAGGGGGTACGTACCTGATTAAACTGCAAATGTAGCGAAACAATATGCTTCGCCGGCAGCCCTTCATCACTTGGTAGCCGTATATGCGCCGGTAAGTCCTGCATCCACCCCTGCAACGCCAATAGTAACTGCTGCTCCCGCTGCAAAAACGACTCCCTATGCTCCTTTCGACTATATATTTTTTCAATAATCAATCCCACGATTCGTGCAAGCTGTACACTCGCGACCAGATATGCAGTATCTGAGAACTGCTCTGCGGCTGTGGGAGAAGAGACTTCTTTCGGTAGATCGACGTGAATATCCTCGTCGCGGATCTGTAAAGGAAAGCCAGTTTTCGATCCCCACATGCGGTCGAAGATGTAGACGGCCCACCAGATGCGGACACGGTGCTCGCTTTCGATGGGGTCGGGGCATTGGCATTTGGGAATGTTGTGGTTTAGACCGAGAATGAGGCCGATACGCATGGCTGTGCCAATTAGGGTGTAGCCAGAGTGACGACGGTTGAGGAAGTATGAGAATAGAGACTGCATTTAAATTGTTAGCTTGCATCCTAGGTTAAACCCGAGTAAACGTACCAAAAGGAGTAAGCTCTCCATATGCACAATACCCGGCCTCTCAGGCAGAATCGATATCAGCCCCATAGCCCGCACATAGTACCCCGTCCCAGGAACCCTCCCTCCAGCCGTAGCCGCCGAATCCGCCCTTGACGAATAGACCTCTCCCAGCGCAAACAGCGCAAAGAACTTGGCTGTCCACGCTGGATCATCCCTCTTCCCCGGAAACTTATACAGATCCTCGAGTTGGTCAAGCGTAGCCTTGCGAAGAACTAGATGATACACCCGACTGAGTTGATTGAATGCCACACGGACGAGTAGTCGAGCCTGCGGGAGACGCGGCCATTGCGTTTCTGCTTCTACCAGCGCCGATTCGGGTGTGTATTGTGTTCGTGCAACATGAGCTGTTCCCGGGTTCCCGGTTAAGAACTGACGCAGGCGCGTCGCAAACGCTGTACATGCCGCTTCACCCATATAGATTGGTGGCGCAGAGGAATCGTAGGGATAAAACCAAGCTCGGTCTCCAAGAAGCGGATTCCGAACCGGAGAAGTAGAACTCGACTCGCGCCGCTGAGCCTGACCAAAACCCGAAGCATCAGAGGTAATAGAAACCTGGCGCGAGTATAATTGCGTCCGTAGTTGATCGTTCTCCGCAAGAATCTGATCAAGATAGCTCTCGTTGATCTTTAACTTGCGATCACGTAGCGAGTACTGGCATTCTTCTCCCCGACCGACATGACGGCATCGGGCACAGGGCTGGTCACCGGAGCATTTGACCTTGTGCGCGTGGCATCGTTGGCAGCTGGGATGTAGGTTAGCCCCATTACATATTAGGTCTCACGGTATGAGGCAAACGTACGCCACGGGTTTCTTTTTGTGGAACTTTGGTGGTTTGTGGACTGGCATGTTTTATACAAGGGTCTTATGAATGTAGCTCTCTCTTTTTCTATGGATTAATGGCTGAAGTTGAGGGGTGAAAAGTTAGTCGGCGTTTTGCCATATTTGCCGAGGGGCAAAAAGGCGTTTTCCGAGCCCTGAAGAATCGGTGTCGGTATCTTGTCGGGAGGCCGACAAAAAAAAAAAAAAAAAAAAAAAAAAAAAAAAAAAAAAAAAAAGAAAAAAAAAAAAAAGAAAGAAAGAAAATCGACATGAACAAAAATGGTTATCATAAGTTAGCCTAGGACAGTTCAGGCAAATAGGGCCGCAGTTGCATTGTCGCTGTTCATACAAAAGTCGAACATCAGCCCTTCCGTCTTTGAGAAATCGGATTCGCCAGGGTTGAGTTTTGTTTGCTGAACGAAATAAGGATACTAGACATGAACATAAGTTACTATTCCAATGCGTATTTGCGTATTCTATTATGGCCTGAGGCGTGTAATTGACGATGTTGAAGATGGCAGTTCACAACGGGCGATTGTCATCAGTCAAGTCATTGAGGCGATGCCCTGAGTGATAACACTCTGCTTGTCCTTGCTATTTTAGAGGCCTATATCATACGCTTGTTGAACACTCGCTATCATGAAGTATGCCCAGGTCTAGCTTCAGCTTCTCGTCGTAGGTCCAGATTGACAGTCGCGAAATCCAATTCTCATCGTGACCGCACATATCCTGCGCAAGCCCGATGCGCTTGTGTCGAGTTCTGGTCTGCCGAAGGACGGAGCTCAGCATAGATGCGGTTGCTCGCTCGATTTTCCGAGTTTGGCATGACGCCTCCAGTGCTGAAGAGTTCTTCTGATTTATACCTGCTCCTGAAAAGATAAACGTTGGACAAGCCGTGCATACAACGAAGAAGCCACCGCTTTATCTTCATCGTCATTTGCGAAGAGCAGCGGTTGTCATTGTTCAGCAGCACCTGAAACTTCTTAGGAAAGCGAAAGCCTGGGTTGCTTGAAAACTGATCCTGGAACTCTCGTCGAAGACCACCTCAATGACATCGGTCTCCCCCTTTGCGCCATTCTCGACCTCTTTGCCCTTCTTTCCGACCAGTCCAGGCGGTCCGCCCACTCTTTTTATGACGTTAGTGTCTGGTTGATGATAATTTCATCTGGGTGGATTTCATCAAGGACAAGAAGTGGGCCATCACGAATCACCACAAAAGAACGAAAAAGCCGATTTTCCCCTTCCCATCCAATCATGTCCCCGATAGATGGACGAAAACAGACACACCTACGCCAGATCTAGACCTGAAGATGAAGGAGTTGGACTACTTCCTAACGACTAACTTGTTGTTGCTGGAAAGAATGCCTTCAAGGCGCACAAGGCGGGTGTTAGTGGAAAGACCAAGGGGCTTGCTGATCCTCGGGATGTGATTCTGACTGAGAATCTTAACGCTGATGCACAAACTATAAATTCCCGATAGGAACCAGTTATTTTCAATTTCAAATTGCAAATAGAAATCAAGTTGGGGCTTTTCCGTTTTCCCAAGGTACAGAAAGCGTTCAGTAGTTACTATCCCTGATGCGGTTATCGTATAAATGACCGGTATCCCAAGCCCTCAGCAATCGGCATTGTGTCGGAATGCCGATGAGGGAAAAAAAAAAAAAAATAAAATAAAATAAATAAAGACGAAGACAAAAAACAAAAAGTTGGTTAATGCAACTTACAGATTCTGAATAGGTGCAGGATTTTAAGATGTGCATGATGCTCAAAAAGCCCTGTGCCGATGTGCAGCTTTTCACAGACTCGCAACAAAGTTATGGCATTCATGATCGGATTGAAGGCATGATATCGTTCATTCCCCGGCATTCAATTGCTCCGGATCAATTAAGCCTGACATTTGAAGGTATACCTCTACTCAGCCTGTAATGAGTTGCAAACTAACAACCCAGGCACAACCACCGTGTCCATGGATACCAACGAAACCAACATCCCTCTCCCCCCATCAGCAGCATCGCAAACCTTTCTCCGTATGCAACAACCACTGACCGAGTTACCATTTTGGAAGTCTGCAAAGCTAGAAATCGGATCATCGTATCTCTTGCCATTCGAGTTTATCGTGCCAGCCGAAATCCCCCATAATGTCTGTCGACATTCACATCGTCACGAGCAGGTTCATTGGGAACATTGTCAACTTGCGCCAAGTATGGGCCAACAGTCAATCCGGCAGCTCAAGGACCAGTCCGTGGATGGTATGGCACCAGAGGGTATTGATATCATGTATTCAATATGTCTTCGGGTGTTCGAAAGCTGTCACAAGACTGGTGCTATCAGAACAATCGCGGAATGGACGCGCCCAGTACATATCCGCCCGTCACGAAAGGAACGAGCACCGCTACTTATTCCACAAGATAGTCGATATTACTGTTTGGGCAAAGAAAAGAAGGTTATTGGGGGATGGTGTCCACGGGCATTAGGGACATTATCAGTCAAGGCAGCACAACCGGCTGCCATTCAGTGGCACCCATCATCCGGCATCCCTGCTACAAAAATTACAGCAAACCTGCAATATACTACCACGGCACAATCACCACCACCAGAATTACAGTCCATCCATCCTCGGCTCGATATTCTTACCTTTTTTTCCCTGGAACCATGGCCCGATTTCCCGGATTTGATAGATTCGTCGATATGTCCATACCACAATGGATTAAACGTGCGGACAGTGTCTTTGCAGCCATGTCAATTGGGTCCATTAGAATGGCAGACATTCAATTCGAAGGAGTCGACTACCTATACGGCATCTGTTCAGGTACCTGTTATCTTCCCGAATGAGATGGCGTATATTCCGACATTCGTCTCGTGTCTTGTTGCACGAACATATTCGGTGAAGTTATCGTTTTTATATCGCGTCGAGGGTCAATGGAGCAGGACATCCAAGACCACAGTGATAGTACCGGTGCAAATATGTTGATAGAATACTATTGATTCCTAGATAAATAGACGTGATACAAACCAGGGTTATTCGGACAAGGATATTCAAACAAGAATGTGTCATGTGATTCCTTGGGCGATTTTCCAACAGCAATCAAGCGCTTGATGGGACCGTTGATCCGTCGAACTCGTTTTGAACCGTCCTTATTCAAATCTTTCATTTATCGATGTCAAGGAATGTATCGACTAAGGGCTTTGTGAGTATTTTAACCACTGTTACAGAAATACTCAATTAAACCGTAGCAGGGACTTCAATATCGCATCTCGGAACATTTATCGCAAAGCGTGAGCTTCCTCGGATATCGGACAAGCGCCCGGATAGGCAACCGACGCTTATCAAGAAAGAATCGAGGAATAAGCCTATCTTCTGAATCAACAATAAGACTTATGCAGATATTGGACTCTCATCCAAGACTATCACAGTCTGCCCAGCCTACACTGGCATACAGATCCATATGGGAAACATCGACGTTGCACCTGACGAAAGCTCTCCCATAATATCTATAGTCGATTTCCAGGCTGAATTAGTGCTACCAGCATTTCTTCAAGCTAATTGGCCCAGCTTCCTAGAGTTACCCGAAAGGGTTTATATAACCAAAACTTCCTGATGACTTTGATAAGTTGGACAAAGATGACAAGATCATTGCTTAACAAGAGTTTCCTCAAGAAAAGCTGGCAAAAACATATGAAGTGTCAGCCCATCTTAGTAGCAGGTCTGCGTAAAATACCATGAATGTCCCGCGCATCTTCCGAGAGCTCTTCATGCGCTGTGGCGAGGTCTCCGAGGTGGGAGTTCTTCCACTCTAGGCATGCCTGATAGAAATATTCCATAATTGGTCAAGCTATGGCTTTGCCGGGCAGTGCCCTTTTGTATCCACGGAAGAAGAAATCAACCTGCATAAGCACCGATTTACCGAATATGAAGCTTGGAATGACATTCAACAACTTGCAGACATTCCCGGATACAGATGCTGCAGGATGGATAGACCCTCGGTACTTGGATTTTATGGAAAAGAAAAGACAGAGCAGAGAAACAGAGAGTCTGCTGTCCATATTCATTGAGCGAATGGCTGGAGAAAAATTTCCGAAGCAACGAAGATGTGGTCATATCCGGATGAGTGAGCATAACCTTGATTAGTATCATCACGCGATCACCTATCGGAGTCGAAACAGGCCAGGACGACGTCTAGGAACCTCGGCCTATCTCGTGCCGTTCGAATCGGCCCGGCTGAGGATTTACGTTTAGGGCAAGCGGGTAGTGACATCATCTGGCATGACATCATACCTCAAATTTGCGATTCTTTCAACCACCAGAGACTTAACGGCGAACACTTCGATTCAATTCAAATGTGTTATTCTTTAGCAGTTACTAATGTCTCCCCATGCGCCTGTACCGGGAGTCAACGGCCTAAACTGGCCCCATAGCATCCTTGCGCAGATCCCGGACCGTCGCAATCATGCCAAGTTCTGGGAGCATGGTCCTAATATGGGGGTGCGGGTGTTGGGTATGTGATCCCATTCCTCCATGCTCTGAATAGATGGATTGCTAATGCAGCGCAGAGGATGGTCGCCTGGACATCAAGGTCCGCCAAGAGGAACCCAACCTAGCGGGGCTACTACACCACCTCCAAAACCACCCCCATGACCTCCCGCCACGACGAGAATCCGTAGTCCCATTTTCCGAGAAAGAGCGCATTCACCCCCTTCACCTCAACATTGTCATCCACGTCGTCGGCTCACGCGGAGACGTCCAACCCTTTATCGCACTAGGCAAAGAACTTAAACGACACGGCCATCGCGTGCGCCTGGCCACACACCTCGATTTCAAGGACTTTGCGAACGAAAATGGCCTGGAATTCTTCAGTATCGGCGGAGACCCAGGCGAACTGATGGCATTCATGGTCAAGAATCCAGGTCTATTGCCGGACCTGCGCACCATCCGCAGCGGGGCCATCGCGAGACGACGACAAGAAATGAAAGAGATCTTTTCTGGGTGTTGGAGATCATGTCATGAGATGGGTGATGGGACGGGTGAGCAACAGGTTATCGATCACCCGTGGAGTGAGACGGTGGATTATCGGAGCCGGCCGTTTGTGGCAGATGTGATTATCGCCAACCCGCCTAGTTATGCGCATGTTAGTTGTGCGGAGAAACTGGGGATTCCGTTGCATTTGATGTTTACGTGAGTAACTTCGATATTCATTGAAAGCGACATACTAATAGAGTAGGATGCCCTGGTCTCCAACGCAGTATTTTCCCCATCCACTCGCCCAGGTCCGCGCGCGCAACACCAAACGCTCCGTCGCCAACTTTGCCTCCTACGCAATCGTTGAAGTGATGATATGGGAGGGTATAGGCGACTTAATCAACAAATTCCGCAAACGCCTCCTAGGCCTGGACCCCCTAGACGGCAGTCGAGCCCCAAGTCTAATCCCCCGACTACAAATCCCTTACTCGTATCTCTGGTCGCCGTCTCTTCTCCCCAAGCCTGACGACTGGGGCGAAAACATCGACGTCTGCGGCTTCAGTTTTCTCTCTTCAGGAAGTGACTACCGTCCACCAGAAGACCTGAAGACATTCCTCAACCAAGGCCCAACACCGATATACATCGGCTTCGGCTCAATAGTCGTCGACGATGCAGCAAAGCTAACACGCATAGTCTTCGATGCCGTCAAAGAAACCGGTCACCGTGCACTAGTCGCCAAGGGCTGGGGTAATATCGGCTCCGAAGAAGTCGACGTCCCGGATAACATCTTCCTAATCGGAAACTGTCCCCACGACTGGTTGTTCCAGCATGTATCCTGCGTGGTCCACCACGGCGGCGCAGGGACCACAGCCGCTGGACTCGCACTCGGTCGACCGACAGTCGTAATCCCATTTTTCGGAGACCAGCAATTCTGGGGAAGCATTATCGCGCGCGCTGGCGCAGGCCCCGAGCCAGTACCCTGGAGAGAATTAACAACAGAGAAACTAAAAGGTGCTATCAAAAAAGCACTCGAATCCTCAACCCTCGAAAGAGCAAATGAAATTGGCCAGAACATGAAATCTGAAGATGGTGTTGCAAGCGCCGTACACCATTTCTATCGCCACTTGGATCTGGATAATCTGCGCTGCTCGATATGTCCGAATAGGCCGGCTGCATGGCAGGTCCGTCACTCAGACATCCGACTCAGCGCCTTTGCAGCGACAGTGCTTGTAGAAGCTGGTCTTCTCAAGCCCCTCAACGTTGAACTGTATTCCCCCCCCGGACTCCCAACTTTTAACCAACCGCACGCTGACGCATTACAGCTACCGCCCCAAAGAATACGACACCCACCGCGACCCCAAAGGCCCCCTTTCCGCCGGTGCAGGAGTCCTCTACGGCGCAATCTCCGCCTTCATCGGTAACATCCGCGACATACCAACAGGCTTCGTCGGGGCTACGCGCGAAGCAGGACAAACCCAGGCACACGATAACCTAGACGCACATGGGCCACAGCACCAACCCGAACACGAACGGGAGCCTGAACCGGAAGTCGAACCCGGTCCTGGCCCCGAACAATACGATATAGATGCAGAAAATGCCGGCCTAGATGAACTAGAAGACAATGAAAACGGGGAAAACATCAGCCTGAAGCTAACGAAAACCACCACTATCACGAGCAAAGAAAAACGGAAAGAAAGAAGAGCAGAAGCCCTATCCGACGCAGGCTACCGGGCAGGCCAATGCGCGAAGCACGTAATCGACTGGGCGATTATGTTACCCGGTGACATAACACTCAGTTTATCAAAAGGATTCCATAATGCACCGAAGTTATACCATGATCGTATGGTCGAGGCATTTCCGAAGGTTATGGGGATACGGAGTGGGTTTCGAGCTGCTGGAACTGTGAGTGCTTCTTTATATTCAAAGCGTTTGGTATGCGTGCAGATAAATATTGACAAGTATTCAGGAATTCACAAGCGGCTTCTACCAAGGCCTAACAGGCCTAATAACCCAACCCCACGCTGGCCTCCAACGCTCTGGTCCAACAGGCCTCCTCAAAGGCGTTGGGAAGGGTATCGGGGGTGTAATCTTGAAACCTGCAGCTGGTACCTCCCTTCCCAAACAAACTCCTTCTCCCGAAAAGTGTATATTAATGAAGTGCAATAGGCATCTGGGGCCTAGTAGGCTATCCGTTGGACGGCATCCACAAGAACCTACGAAAATCGCTGTCGCGCAGCTCGACGAAACATTTTATCGCTGCGAGAATTGCGCAGGGGATTGAGGAGATGTGTGCTTCAGGGACAGAGGAGAGGGCACATGTTATTAGGGTCTGGCATGAAATGGAGGATGGCTTGAAGGGTCATGTTTGATTTGATTTGATTTGTGCTATGATACCATTCTGTTTTATTTCTTGCAATATGCATTTGGATATAGCATTCATGTATAGAAAATGCATAATTAATCATTATTAAATATAATGCTTGGTAAGCATTAACCTAGTTGATGGTGATCTCCCCCCCATCTAAACTAACATCGGCCCTATACATCGCCCTCCCCTGACTAACATCCTCCCCATTCCGATGGGCATGGAAAACAATCTTCTTTCCGTCCTCCGAGAAATCCGCACCACCCGGACTTGTCAAAGTCCCGTTATCCGTCTTATCGCCCGACTTCAAAATCTGTCCTTGTCTTGTATACGGGCCCGCGACATTCTTCGCAGTCGCGTATTTCGCATCGTAATCTGGGGAGTCGAAACGATGCGATGAGAAGGTTAGGTAATACGTGCCTTCGTTTTTCACCAGAGAAGGTGCTTCGACGAGGATTCCGTCTTCGGGTTCTTTCTGTAAGAGGGCGGTTGTGTTGCCGTTTGGTGTGATGCCGTCTGATTTCACAGGTTGGAGGTGGATTGTGGTCTCGGCGTCTTCGGTCTTATAAATCACGTAGCGCGTGCCATCATCGTCTTGAAAGCCGACGGCGTCAATGGCGCCTCCTTTGTCGAGGGGGCAGACGAAGGGTTTGTCGTTGGGGGTGTAGGGGCCTTTAATGGAGGTTGCGGTTGCGGTGCCGATGCAGTGTGCAGAGGTGTCTTTGCTGGTAAGGGCGGAGAAGTACATGACGAATTTGCCGTCGTCCTATTGTACATCAGCTTGTGCTTTGGCGTCAATTGCGTGAAAAACAGACGTACCCTCTTAATCACATCAGGCGCCCAAACCTCCGGGCCCTCCTTTTTAGTCCAATCCGGGAACGGACCAGGAATAGCATCGTGGCCCTTGAGCAACTCCCAGGTCTTGAAATCAGACGAGGTGGCCACTTGGACCTGTACCCCGTTTCCAGCCGTAGCAAACGAGTACCAGCCATCGTCGGCTTTGATGAGGCTGGGATCGGGGAAATCAACATTCAGCACGCGGACCGGAGCCGCGAAGACCGATAGCGCGGAGGCGGCGAAAAGACTGATACCCCTAATAGACATTTTCAAGTTGCTTTTTGATTTCTTTTCCCTTAAAAGTCAGGAACGGGACAAAGAGCCTTATTTGTATCCTTACTCTCTCCATTTCCTGCCTCCACTAAGGCATGTTCGCATTCGCATTCTTCATCTCGCCTGGCCTAATGATCATACTCAATCCGGTCAAAACTCCATCGGCGATCACTCGTATCCCTAACCCACCAATTTCTCTCAACAAATCAGACTACCGTACAACTCTGCAGGACTAGAATAGAGGTCCCGCGTTACATCGTACATTCAGCCTCGAGGCTGATTCTCCAGAAAAATTCCACTTCCACAGCCTCACCTCGTATTGCACTGCCGATCATCCTGTTATTGTTGCTGTGCTGTTCCGGTAGTGCCGAAGGAGCGCATAGTGCATAATGCAGGTCTGAAGGATTGTGCATTTCCGGGACTCGCCGGGATATGTTGCATAATTTCAGGGGGAGAATCGGTAAGGTGATCAAGAATGGATGTTGTATGTATAGGCACGTAATATCATGTGATTTTCTTGACCGGTCTTGGCGACCATCGCCACGACTTCTTAACTTCTCGTATCGGGCAATATTTGATGCTGGGTGGTAGGGCATCAACCATGAAATTTGAGTGTTGTGTTTTGAATGAGTTTGATGTGCCAAAAGTAGTCCGACGCTGCACTTCCGGCCAGATTCTACAACCCTAAGCGAATACGGAAGGGTTCCTTGCCAGACACATGTTTCATTTGGGAATTAGGGTCAGTCTTCAAATATAGTAAAATGGGAAAGTGGATTGTAATGGGTCTTGCGTTGAGGGGGAGTACGAGAGTTCCTGCTAGAGAACCTGGCCCTGTCGAGGCAGAGGTATCGGAAATGCAGGTCTTTGCTTGATATGATAAAGTGCTAACATTACTATGCTGTATGATACCGATGATGTTCATAGCTGATTCAGTGCATGATGCTTAGCACGTGAACGGAATAATGGACACACTCAGGCTCAGCCCTACCAGCACTCAACGTTCTAGAACCAGTCCCAAAACCCCCGAATAAAATGTCGCCATCGGTCTCAGGAGCCAAAAAATAACCGATTGCATACGATCCACGATCAGCAATGATGCTGTCACGGACGCCAGGAACCGTTAGTTACTCATCCGACACATAATCAACGTACTCATCAGGAACCATACAATGGCAGGGCTGATGACATCAACGCGTGTTCGTCCGGGGTACGTGTCTAGACTTACTCAGAGGATCTAGACCGGTCTAGGCCTCTGTTATATGTGACCGATTGGCCAATAAGAGGATAGATCGCGATCAAGCTCTTTTTTAGAGTATGTGCAGGTGAACCATGATCGCCTTTATCGGGTATTCTACGGATTACTTGGCAGATTAATGGGGGTGGATGATGGTCTAGATTGTTTCTAAGATATAGTGTGTAGACTTCCCCTGGCTCTAGTGTTCGTATACTCGTAAACTGCTCAATCGCTCGCTGAACCGCTCCTTCACAATCACAAAAGAATAGTAAGAAGACCCGCACTAGTCAACCAGCAGTAGTTTGCATCAACACCGGCTGGGCCCAGAATTTCCGGCCAGACACGAGTCTCTTGAGACTGGAGAACGTGCTCCACTTGTTTTCGGTATCCCGGCTGTTGTTTGCCGCAACGCGAGCCAGCGCATTGCTGTTCGGAGTAGTAGTGGTAGTGGTAGTGGTAGTAGGCGTCTTGGCCGCAGTGGTAGTTGGCGCAGTAGCAGTGATAGTAGTATTGATAGTCTTTGCATTCGCATCCACCATCGACCGTCTGCGAATCCACCCCCTCACAGCCTTAGCAAGTTGTGCCCGGACTACACTGCCCTGGCCCTCTTTTCTGCTGATGTACCCGTCGACTCCGTTGTCTTCGGAGAAGCGAGAAGACTTGCGGTGATAGCTGACATCTCTGCGGGCAGCGGTCATGGTCTTGGAAAGGACGGCATTGTGCCCCAGACAGCGGCGGAGGTCGGGCTCCTCTGCTGAAGATTCTTGTTGGAGTTTGTGGTGGGAGAGGAGGGCGAGTTTGGAGGGGCTCTGGGCGAAAGTTGAAGAATTAAAACGGGTGTTCATGGCTGCGGTTGAGAGGCGAGAGGGGAGGCGAGGAATGTAAGACACGGACATTTTGAATTAAAGAAGGTACAAAGAAAAAGAAAAGTATAGACAGAGAATGGTAGATAAAGAATGGATGATTGAGCAAAAACACCATGGGACAAGACAATAGATATAGGAATCAAGAGCAGAGGCTAGACCGCGCGTGTGCTGGTCTCGACCTGGCATGATCTGATGGCCCACGGACGTTTCCGAGTGTTCCCATGGTAGAGTCTTACGTCTAGACTTGACGGTACGTGGCGGTTTTGAGATCATTGACTTTCGGCGCGCCGGTTTGGTTGCCGCTTTTGTTTTTGTTTGCCAGTTTCTGGGGTCTCGTTCCTTCTAGATCCGTGTGTGATCGGTCCGTGCGATGCGCAAAGAGCCTGGCTGTCGGATAAGCCGGTGTGTAGTTTTTGTTTGCCCTCAACACATACTCGCAGTTATCCGTGGGCTATGGTCTCACTTGGAAGTGGGCCATCACGCACGTGTAGACGTTACGATTCTCATTGAGCCAGGCGTCAAACTTATCTACATATTACAAAGTGCTTGACATCAACTCTTGGCAAAATCATATCCCCAAAAGGCAACCTCGGAGAATTTCTCGAATCATACCCAAAATAGTCGTGACGTTATCTACAACCCAGAATGACCCCGGACTTTCACTTCTTCACTTTTACACTCTTACCAAACACATACATTCACCCTAAAAATAAAATGGCCCGCTATGCACTATGAACTCATCCTTTTACCACATCCGCCCTAAACTCGATGACCTCCTCGACGACAAAGCACCATACCCCTACACACTAAGCGCATTAATCGCCTTCCTCTCAAAATCGCATTGTCTGGAGATCCTCGAGTTCGTTCTCGAGGCTCGTCGATACAGGGGCAGTTTTCAGCGAGTGGGAGATCATAAGTCCCGTCGGACATTGCATTTGCAATGGCAGCGCATACTACAGATGTATATTGTCTCGGGGGCGCAGCGGGAGATTAATATCTCGGATGGTATACGGGATAATTTAGTCGCCACCGAGTCGAAGAAAAAAAAGCAAGAGGATTTTCCTCCGGATCCTGCGCTTCTTGATCCAGCGTTGCAGGAAATGCGCGATCTACTACATGATTCGCTATTATTACCGTTCTTGCGCAGCTGCGTCAACCAAGAACGAGAACAACCCCGACCTCTCTCAACATCCTGCCTCCACCACGACACAGAATCAATCGAGGAAAAAGAACACGCCTACTCCGACATCTTCCCATTCACCGGCGGCGGGACCCCCACCTCAAAATCACGCTCCCAATCCCCCCTCCCCTCCAACACAGGCACAGGCGCCAGCACAGACAAAGGCGACAGAAGCCACACCTCAAGCGTCGTCTTCACCGACGACAGCAACCAAAGCCGCTCAACCCCTCCCTTCGGACTATCTAAATACCCCAGTAAACCCGGGAGTGTGAGTTCGGGAGCTGTGCATTCTACCTCCGACGGAAGCGGGAGTAAGGAGCTTGATCTCGGGAAGACAAACTCGAGTCCTAGCACTTGGAGGTCTGAAGGGGATAAACATCATCAGGACCAGAAGAGGAAGTGGCGGATGTTGCATTTTAAGGGCGGGATTTTTAGGCATTTGAGGAGTTCGTCAGGATAGCGTTTGTGTATATAGTTGCATTGTCGAGCTTAGATAGGGGTGCACATGAAGATGGCATCCTGTCTACGGTGGATATCAACAGTACAGTAAATATCTGTTCACTCTATCATTGAAAAGTATACTTTACCTGAAAACGGCAAACTCGCCAATGAAGTCATACGGACCTCATCATCTCCCCCGCATTTTCTACTATATTTAAACATCGAGGCTGTCAACATAATGACTACTATTACCATCAAACATCAAAGCACATTAACAAAATGACCAAAGACCTCGTTAGCCACCATATCTCCCCATATACCATATTAACTTCTAACAAAAGCAAACAGACCTTCGACATCCGCTACGACAACGAACTCGCCTACGACTACTACGGCGACGGCAAGAAACTCGCCGACAAGTACTCCACCTACTCCTACATCCTTCCACCAGTACTAATAGTATGCAGTCTCCGAGACGTCTACCATGACAAAAACCTAACCTTCCCCAATGACTTCGAGTCTACTACGACGATCCCGCCGATTCATTTTATGGGGTATGCTTCTCCCCATTCCTACCTGATAAAATCAAGGTTGATGTTAATACTGATGATTTTGATGGTAGGGTCACCGCGCCAGATGACGTGGATATAGACGAACTTAAGAACGTTGAAATTCCGGGGTTAGCGGTTGATATTTTGGATTTTAAGATGTAAATGTAACAAAACAGTTTGTAGCTAATACCGAGGTGTGAAATTTGTGCACGGCGTACATAGTAGTAGCACTGTACATAGAGTGTATTATTATGTTAATATTGATTCCACAGTGTCTAGAATCAAGTATAGAGAATGCATAGAAATAATTGAACATGCGATGCATTATCTTTATCATGGCAAAACCATTTATTCTAGACCCTGTTGACTACTATTTCGCTTCGATGAACGTCATACAAACCTCGCATTCTGTGTCCTATATATAATTGCCTCCGAAAAAACAGGAGAACGGCGACCACCAAAAGTACACTCTCATTCGCATTAACGGCATCAATCAAACCAGCAACAAGATCGAGAAAATGCTTCGTTAGCTACTTTCCCTTCCCCCCTGCACGACCCATCTAATAACACGAATCCAGCTCTTCAACGCCAGCTATGCCAATGATGACGCCCTCAGGCGGTTCGGCGAGGACAAGAAACTCGCCGAGAAGTACGTATTGCCCTATCCATACAGCATATTACATAACATATGTAGCCATGTTCTACCACCACGACATTGCTGAATAAATCATGAATATTAATGTCTGGCCATAGTCTACGAGACATATACATGCGTAAGGACCTGACATTCCCGGCTAACTTCAAGATAAATGAGTTCGTCAGGTCTGTTTTCAAGCATCTTTTAAAAAATGGGTTGGTGTTGATAGTAAACGGGTGTAGGGCACGCGCCCCCGAAGATACGGCTGTTGGGGATCTGGAATTGGTTGTGCTTCCTGATGGGTTGAATGTAGATATTAAGGACCCTGGATTATAGGGGCACTCCCGGCTTCAGGTGTACATAAAGTTACTCGTACATAGTTGGTTACCGGAATGGGAAAAGCGTCCACACCGCCGTGCCTGGTCCACGCGCCCCACAGTCCGTCAGCCTTGAACGCTCAATTTATTCTAGACATCATAGCTCTCTTCATCCACTTTATTCTAATTATTCTAGGACACAGAAAAATGGTCCTAACCCAACTCCCGCAATGGATACTCATCCAAGCCACAATCGGCCTCGCAATATCCTACACGCCACCTAATGCAAACATCGCGCGCTCCGCAGCCGCCATCGCGATCATCGCGCTCGCGATGTCCGTGCAAATCGAAGCCCTCCTACCAGGACGCGATATTCGTGCCGCGGGGCCGATTGCAGCCATGGGATGGGTAAATGTGCTTAATGGGATTGAGTTGTTGTTGTTGAGCCGGGTTTCGTATGCTGCGCAGGTTGAGTGGGAGAAGACGCAGCCCAAGGTATCGGCGCCGACATTGCAGCTGACTTGGGCATTTTGGATGCCGTATAATTATCGCCGGGTTCGGACGCCGTGGCAGATAAGGCGGTTGCCGTGCTTTAAGCGTAATGAGCCGGGGTATGTCCCCGGGAAGGGGAGGTTTCTTGCGACTTGTGCGGGGAAGGCTGTCCTGTGCGGTTTGCTGATTGGGATTTTCACGGTTGATCTTCGGTATCCCGGTCTTGAGGAGCAATTGAGTATTCTTTGGGGACAGCAGGATGTGCCCGTTTTGCACCGTGTTCTCGTGCAGACTAGCTTCATGGTGCCTTTTGCTGTTTTGATCCGGGCGGTTATTGTGGGAGTTTATTCTGTTATGGCACTTTCCTGCGTTGGTCTGGGCATTTCTGAGCCAGTGCTGTGGCCGCCTATTAGTGGGTCGTTGTTTGATGCATGGTCCATCCGTCGGTTGTGGGGGTAAGTCTTTCCCTTCAGCACCTTATTTGAGACACTCTTAGCTGACCTCAATAGGCTAACATGGCACCAAATGCTCCGCACGTGTCTTTCGTCGAACATCAACTTCGTCTTCTCTGTTCTGCGCATCCCCAGCTCTTCGGTCGTGGCGTATATACTACGCCTCGTGCTGGTTTTCGCCCTCTCCGGTCTCGTACATTTGGGCATGGACCTAGGCTTCTCCGTTCCGATCAAGGACAGTGGCGCACTGTACTTCTTCACCCTACAGGCATTTGGGATGATGTTTGAGCAGCTGGTGGACTATATCTGGTCAACTGTTTTTGGAAAGAGCACGCGCACAGGTATCGCGGGGAGGATTGTTGGATACCTCTGGGTCGTTGGATTCTTAGCTGCGACAGCGCCAACATGGTTGGTGCCGGTTATTAAGGCGGTGTACTATGGTGGCGAGAGGGTTCCGTTGCCTATGCACCTGGGATGGGGGGTATTGTTGGCATAGTTTTGGAAATGTTCTTGGATGAGATGACTATATCAGCATATGCATGCAGTTACACAACATAATCATACATTAGGTAGCAAAACGTTAATAACTTCACTCGCATTGACTCACATGTCCGTTACTCAAAGTCCCACAGCCTATACAGGCCCCCGATCCAACTGAACCAGTATAATAACCGACAAGACCAACGTCACAACCACAATCTACCCATTAGCCATCAATCCATCTGAAAATTTACTTACGGTAGCCATAACTCACCAAAAAAACCAACACCCCAATCGAATTCAACTCCCACCCCCCAGCATGTACCTTCCCCCGAAACAAAGCATTCTGCTGCCTCCAGAACCGAAATGCGCCAACCACGACAACGGCCAGCGCGACACTGTGACACGCAATAGATAACGGAACAGCGACTTCGTAGTATGTGAGCTTAGTGGCTTCTTGGGCTTTCGAGCGTTGGAGACGGAAGAGTTGCGCTATTAGGACGCCTTGCATGGCTAGAATGACGGAGGTGCGGATGTACGCGAGGAATGTTCGTTCGAGCGCTGTTGTGCATTCGATGTGTTAGCAGACGGGTACATATGTCAAGGAAATTGCGGGGGATTACCGTAATGATCGCGGTTCTTCTTCTGGGGAACTACCAGAACAACTTGACTTGTCCAGAATCCGCTGACAGCGTCCCATGTCTTCTTTCCTTTCAACAACACGCCCTTCCAGTCGCAATCATTGCCATTATCACTATTGTGATTCGAACCATTACCCCTTCCCCTCTCATCCGCATTGACAACCCGCGCCGCAACAGTCCGATACGGCACGCGGTTCTCTCCAGACGAAACCGTCGCCGCGGACTGCGCGTATTCGTCGTCGTGACTCTGGCATCTATCGTGTGTGTGGATTTCCTGTAGTTCCATGGTGTCTGGCCCTGTGTCTGGTTCGCGCTGTTCGGGCATTCTGGCGGTGATGACGATGACGATGTTGGTCGCCGTTCTTGTTTATTATCGGCGATTAGAGGGAGGGGAAGGATGGTGATGGAGGGTTTGCATCACGGTTGGTGTAGGGATTGCTGGTGTAAAAGATCCAAATGAGTGGAGTATTGGTTCTTGGATATGTAGATGCAAGGTTCCTGGGTAATGGGCGAATGGTTGCATATGATACGAGAGGCCATGCATCATTTTCCGCCTACCAGTTTGGGAACGCGTCCGCTCAGACCATAAATTCTCTATGTCTACTGCGATGTCCATGTGTAAATATGCGCTATTTTATTCGTGTTCCTGATAGTGTATCAAATGTACAGTTCCTGTATGGACATGACAGATGTGGATTGACATCATGGTCGATCCCCCAGACTCCGATATCGGTCCCAATTGAGTGGAGATACGGCCAACTACAACAGCACGCTGTGAATCAACAAACATATATAAACCCCAGCATTGCCTGAAAGTATAAATTATCAGGGTCCATTGACTATTTACAAGTCACACGAAGCCAACATGTCCTCCACCAAAGACCAATGGAGTGCCGAGGTATGCATACCATACTATTCGTCTCCGAACCATATCCATTCGTATAGATAAGCTAACAATAACCAGGCATACTCAGCCTCCGCATCCTTCGTCCCCAAACTCACCCAGAAGCTCCTCAGCTACCTGGTCCCGCAGCCTACTGACAAAATCCTCGACGTCGGTTGCGGCGATGGGAAGTTCACGGCTAATTTCCTGCCTGCAGTTGGATCCGTTCTGGGCATTGATTCTTCGCCTGCTATGATCGAGTCTGCGAAGAAGGATTATGGTAATGAAAAGGCTGAATGGCGTGTCGTTGACTGTCGGTATTTGGATAAGGAGGAAGCTATTGTTAATGGGTCGTGGGATAAAGTGTAAGACTCCTGATTTTGGGTTGATGGGTATGACTGACTCGAATGATCAAGCATCTCCAACGCAGCTTTGCACTGGATTTTACGCGATAGTTCGACGCGTATGGATACTCTGCGCGCCATACATGGCAGTCTCAAACCAGGCGGCACCTTTGTGTTCGAAATGGGCGGTCACGGAAACGTCCCTGAGGTCATGACGGCACTCATCTACACGCTCGTGCAGCACGGCGTACCTGCCGAAAAGGCGAAAGCAGCAAATCCGTGGTTCTTTCCGTCTGAAGTATGGATGAAAAATGCTCTCGAGAGCATTGGATTCCATGTTGACCAAATGGAGATCGAATTTCGGCCAACGAAGCTCACTGCTGATGCTAATGGCGGATTAGCTGGTTGGATCAAGCTGATGGGTGCACCATTTTTGGACGTTCTTCCAGGAGAGAAGCAGGACGACGCTGTGAAGCAGATTTGTGATATACTCGAGCCCGTAGTCACGCGGGAGGAAGACGGCAGCCAGTGGTTGGGTTATGTGCGTTTGAGGGGTATTTCTAAGAAAATATAATTTAGATACACACCCAAAGAATATCATTGCCGCCTCTGTCTCCGTCGCTGCATGAGTACTGCCAGTGGAATGTCCTCTTCATCATAGAACTCGATCTCCTCGTCCACTCCGAAATCATGTAGGCGCTCTCCCTCAGAGTTTCTCCAGGCCTCTTCGCCATCAGAGTCTCCCTGATTGTCGGGCTCTGAGTCGCTTTTGTCTCGAGTGTCGGAGTCAAATCGTTCATGGAATCGTTTACGGCGCTGGACCACGCCGTGTCTGACGCGTTTCAGGTTTTCGTCTCGGCGACGGTTGAATGCTTCGATTTCTTCGTGGGCGGAGCTGTACACTTGTGGCACCGTGAAGGCGTTTCCCCTGTCAGTTGGAGTGGGTAGGGGGATACGATCCGGGTCCGGTGGAGGCCAAGTGACATTGGGACCTATGAGGTGTTAGTACCGATTGATTGTGGCCAAGCAACCGAACAAACCTTCGAAATCATTGATCTCAAAATCTAGACCTGATTCACGACCTGGGGTCGCGGCAAATGGCCAGAACCAGCTTAGGACCTACTGCCATCAGCTCCCGCCATAAATCGATAGATGGCGAACAAACATACATTTGCACTTCCACCCATTCCAGCTTTGATATTGCCCCAAATTCCAATGTCATACGGGAACTCTTGCTTTCTAATATGTATCTTGACACCCCCAGGAGCGTCCAGATAGCCACCAAAATGTCTGGCTCGCCGGAGAAGTGTCTTGTGTCTTTCGATTTCCCATGATTCGATAGTCGTGGTGTTGCCACCAAGAGACCATAAATTCCGAACCAAGAGAATAAAAAGCGCAAAGACAGTCAAGCTGTTGACGACAAGAAGGATGAATAAATGAGCCATTTGTCCCAAACTGGGCCCGAGGTACTTGTGGAACGGTCAGCAAACAGACGAGAATTGATTTAAGGTGGCAGGCAACCTACACTAGGAAGATGTCTACTAGCCCAGATAGTCGATGCTCTCTCAAAAAGAAGAGACTCGAGATATGACATCCCAACAACAGCGTAAAACAGAAATCGAATAAAATGCGGAAACGTAAAGTGTGACACGCAATTGGTAGTCCATGGACAGTGGTGGTCCATCTTCGGTATACACCTGAAGCTGTCAGTCACGAGAACATTTATTAGGAAAATTAGCAATCACCTTCCACATGTCCTGCAATGATGGGCCCGTGGAGGCTTGAAAGCCTCGCATTTCCGACACCACCGCTGCCGGCCACTGACACCTTCGACTTCCACTTGCTTGTGGTCCAATGACTTCCAATCCTTAGGAACGTGCCCCGGATCTACAGTGCACGATCGGTAATAACATATTCCAATACATGTCGCGAGTGTGTTAATAGCCCAGAGCTCATTTTCTCGTAGGGACACGGCTTCGAAATTCACGAAAAAGTACTGGGAGGTGAAGGAGAGGAAGCTGATCAGAACCCAGACAGCGGGAATTGCCAACTGCGAAATAGAGAAGGGCCCTTGAAACATCTTAACGCTTCTGCATATTCTTTCGTAGAGCCCTTTATATCTTTCTAGAGATCGCGAGGTAGAGAGCAGGTTGGCGATGCTTTTCGCTGTCGGAATATAGAGGTTCCTTACCGAACAATACCAACTGATGCCTGATTGATGCCTTGCTGATATCATATGGCGAAAAGCAGCGTATTTACTCTGCTATTACTGCTTTTGAAACCGCACAATCGCTTAGTATACTCTATAAGGTATTTACGGTCGTATATAGGATCCTAGATAGCACACTTTTGCAAGAATCAGAGACCTCAACCATATACGCTTGATACGTACTTTCAACCCT